CTGCAGTGAGCTATGATCTTGCCACTGTACTCCAGGCTGGGTGAAAGAGCAAGACCTTATCTCTGAATGATGATGTTGATGATGTTAATGATAATAGGGACCTATTTGTTCCTGTGATCTCAAACATATTTCACTATGGCAAATGACTTGAGACTACATATAGCCATTGAACATATACACAGCCAAACATGCATTAGGTAATTATATAAATTCTTTTCCTCATGCTCCTGTGCCTGCAGATCAGATTGTCTATATGCATGTTAGAAGCTATAGATGGGTGTGAGATACAGTGCAGTAAAATGATTAATTCCCTAATTGAATGGAGTCTGGGAGGTCATTTTCTATAAGAGGACACATCAACCAAGGGAGGAAACGATGTAGTTAGTGTTATGTTTTCCTTTAGATTTACTCATAGCAGCCTGATAGAAACCACACCATAATAAAACTGGAAGTAATTATTAAATCAAATTTCATAAGCTGCAAATGAGACATTAGATTGTTGCCATGTTGAAGTGGAAAGACACCACTCCCCTCAAGACTATGGCAGTAGAAATGAAGGAAATTCCACTGTATGCATCTTAGAATAGGTATTTAAAAACTAAGCCTAAAATGTAATTTTTGTGACTATGCAACTAATTATGCAGGTGGAACTTATGCAAGTACGAAACCACGTAAAGCCACAGCAAGCCTGCAGTGTAAGAAATGCAGCCAAGGGCTGGGGAGAGGGGCAGATGCCAAAAGGAAAACTCTAATCAGCACAGGAGGGGTCCAGGAAGATTTTCCACGCCCCCAGCCAGACCTGACTCAGTGGTGGTCGCTAGTGACAGCAATGATGGCTATAAATGACTACTGAAGATGTGGAAATACACCGAGAATTTACTGTTAATTCTGCTCTGATATTTATTAGGTTCACTCCCTTCAGGGACCCAATAATTGTGTCTTCTTAAGAGCTGACTGTTGCATTTTCAGGGAGAGGCCATGAAAAGCTCCTGGGGCCAAGGAGGTCGAGGTTGAAGAAAGCGCCAGATCCAGGAGGCAATTTAACGTAGGAGAAATGTTTTTTAATGTTAGCCCATATTCTTAAAGTTGCACCCAGGTATTTGAACTAAATATTGACTTCTCAAGTGGCTACAAAGGGCTCTTTATGGGGAAGACTACCCTGCAGAGGGGAAAGCAGCAGGTGTGATTCCTGAAAGCCAGGCCAGCCTCTCTCCCGTGTCACCTGCATTTGTGCCACACACACGGGGTTTGCCTCACCAGGCCATGCTCCTCCAGGCAGTGACGTTCCAGGTTACTTTCTGAAGAAGGCTTGGTGCTGGGAGAGTTGGACGTTTTGATTTCCACATACAGGCAGTGTTTTTTGAATTAATATCAACAAGTATAAGTACACATGACAATAAATAGCAAGTGACCCAGAGGATTCCTGCGGCAAATAGACGCCCACAGAGGAGGTGAGTCCCTAGGCATCTATTAATTGGTTTGTTTACCTTCATTGCACTGGATTCTACTCAAACGAGATGTGATGGGGAAAATCACACTGCTTATTCAGGACTTTGTTTTCCTGGGTTGCCTAAAGATGTCTCATATTTTGGTCTCTCTGGGGGTATCATTTTCTTGTATTGCTTTTCTGATTTCTCAACAAGATATGACACTTTTTTTATTTTTGAGACAGAGTCTCACTCTGTTGCCCAGGCTAGAGTGAGTGCCGTGGCGTCAGCCTAGCTCACAGCAACCTCAAACTCCTGGGCTCAAGCAATCCTCCTGCCTCAACCTCCCGAGTAGCTGGGACTACAGGCATGCGCCACCATGTCCGGCTAATTTTTTCTATATATTTTTGGTTGGCCAATTAATGTCTTTGTATTTTTAGTAGAGACAGGGTCTCGCTCTTGCTCAGGCTGGTTTTGAACTCCTGACCTTGAGCGATCCTCCCGCCTCGGCCTCCCAGAGTGCTAGGATTACAGGCGTGAGCCACCACGCCCAGCTGATATGACACTCTTCTGAAGATGGGAAAATTCACTTCCAGTAGCAGCCACATATGGAACAGAAATTTTTCTCTTGCATGATCAGTCAGTATTACCCTTAAGAACAAATGTAGGTATTCACCATCATGAAAGATTTATGACTATCTTGTTTCTCCAGCAATTTTTTGATGGTTTTGCACAAATAAAATATAAACATATTACAGGTAAAAAAAGTTTTTATACACAAGTACAAGGAGTAACTATTAAAACACATTTATTGTCCAACCCATCCATACCCCTTTCCCAAATAAATTATGAAAATCAAAGCACTGGTATTCAAAATTTCTGAATGTTGTACAAAATAGATTATAATAGAAAAATCTCATCTGTCTACACATACAAAAATTATATGCAAGATAGAATACTAGCAAACAAACCCTAATTGATTATTAAAATAATACATAATGACAAAATGCAGTTTGTTTGAAATTGGAGAATAAGTCAATATTAGGAAACCCACTAATGATGTTCTTAATTTCATAGAGATAAATAGAACAGTCATATAATTGTTTCAGTCAGATAAATAGAACAGTCATATAATTGTAAAAATGTCCATTTAGCAGAATTTAACATACAATACTGTTTATTTAAAGCCATTAAAATGAGAAATTAATAGACTTTTAAAAACTGACAAAACAGTCTTTTTCATACTGATGGAAAACATGAGGGAGATTTCTACTATTTTCAGAAATAATACTAAAAAGCGCAACATTGTCTATAGTATTCATTAAATTTGCAATGAGCTTTATCCAAGGATATTGAAAGCTCAAGAAAAAATAGTAACAAATATGTAAGACTGAATTTGCACGTGATATGATTATATATCTGGAAACACGAATCAGTAGGAAAAAACTAACACAAAAAATAGTTCAGCAGACTAACACAATATAGCATTGATGCACAAAATCATGGGCTTTCTAAGTATAATTCATAATCATTGATGAATGCAGTATGAGAAGAATACCATAAAAAAGTATGATTTTTAAGAAGTAAAATGAAAGGCCTAGAAAAAGAAATAAGTAAAAATATGTAGAGTCCATAGGGTATAGTCTGCCCATGGCATATTATTCAATTCAAAGGAAATGGATTTGAGCTATACCAATTAATAATAGGAGAGTTTTCTCAATGCATTATTAAGCAAAAAACCAGAAATGTAAAGAAGTTTAAATTACTTGGTCCCATTTTATAATTTTCAATATTTGTGTTTATATATGTAAATAAATGTCTTGAGCATGGATAAAAAAATGTGCAGAGTCTATATAAGCTAAAAAATAAAGAATTCCTGAAATATATGAATAAAGACAAGTAAAGGAAAAGTTGAATATTATTCTTGGATAAAAAAACTGAATAATATAAAGAAGTCCTTTCTTCTTAAGCTAACTTCCACATTATATCTGACCCAATAATAGACTTTCTTAGTCTCTTTAAGCCAGCAATGATTTTGCAAAGTGCCCACGGCAGAACAAACAAAAGAACTGCCAAAATCAGGCCCTGTGCAGTGGCCCAAGCCTGTAATCCTAGCACTCTGGTAGGCTGAAGCGGGAGGATACCTGGAGGTCAGGCGTTCGAGACCAGCCTGAGGAAGAGTGAGATCCTGTCTCTTCTAAAAATAGAAACTTCCTTGACAAGTAAAAATATATATAAAAGATTAGCCAGGCATGGTGGCACATGCCTGTAGTCCCAGCTACTCGGGAGACTGAGGCAAGAAGATGGCTTGAGCCCAGGAGTTTGAGGTTGCTGTGAGCTAGGCTGACGCCACGGCACTCTAGCCCGGGCGACAAAGTGAGAGTCTCAAAAAAAAAAAAAAAAGGACTTATTATATTGTTTTCGATTTGGAATATCACACATATAAGTCATATGTGGATATACCCCCACACACAACGTTAAATGCTAAGGTCCTCCACGTTCGGCCGCCCGAGGACATTTATCCCGCCCGCGGGTGTTTTCGCCACAGCTGCCCACGGCCCCGGGCCGCAGTGCGCATGTGCGGGATGTGCGCGGCTCTCCCCAACCGCCGTCCAACGGCCTGCGGGACCGCGGACTGGCCCCGGTGCCAAACGTTTGGGGACCCCTGGGAGGATGGCGGGGCCCGCCGGAGGCCGGGAGCTGGTGAGTGTTTCCTTCCCCGGGGCCGGCGGCGGGACCCGGGCGCCCTGTGCCGTCCTCCCAGGCGCGCCGGGCGCAGCCGCAGCCCGTGTGGCAGCTCCGAGCCCGCAGCCCGCGTCCGCCCGGACAGCGCGGCGACGCCGGGACGGGCCTCGGGGGAGGCTGCGGCTCGGGGTGCGGGGCCGCGCGCGGGAGGAGCTCGCTGGCCCGCGGGGCCGTCCTCCCTCCTGTGGACGGCGGAGCCGGGGCGCTGTGGGGACGTCAAAGGGTTCGCGGAGAAACAGGAGCGGTGGGTCCGGACGGCCAGCCGCGGTGTGGGGTCCGCTCGAGGGCTTGGAGGAGAGGGTTCAATGAGGGCCACGAAGCGGCCATCCTAGTTCTCTAGCTGGTTACAGTTGTGTAGGCCCTTTTTTTGGACCGCCATGGTGGGTGTTTTCTGGTTATGTAATTAGAGGTCAATTTGTGCTCTGTGTTTTGTTTGGCCTAATTTTGCTTTTCACTAAGTTAATAATTTACACCAGAAGAGTTTGGGTCGTATTCCTGTATTCTTAGGTAGGAACCCAAGGCACTGGATTCACTTGAGTCTTTTTTTTTTTTTTTTTGAGACAGAGTCTCGCTTTGTTGCCCAGGCTAGAGTGAGTGCTGTGGCGTCAGCCTGGCTCACAGCAACCTCAGACTCCTGGGCTCAAGCGATCCTCCTGCCTCAGCCTCCCGAGTAGCTGGGACTACAGGCATGCGCCACCACGCCCGGCTAATTTTTTCTATATATATCAGTTGGCCAATTAATTTCTTTCTATTTATGGTAGAGACGGGGTCTTGCTCTTGCTCAGGCTGGTTTCGAACTCCTGACCTCCAGCAATCCGCCCGCCTCGGCCTCCCAGAGTGCTAGGATTACAGGCGTGAACCACTGCGCCCGGCCTCACTTGAGTCTGATTGCTGCTATTTAGTTGAGCAGACATCAGCGTTCTTCCATAGACAGGAGTAAATAAAATTAGAAGACAGGTGGGGGCGAGGGCAGGATGTAGGGTGGCAAAGTTAGAGGGTAAATGAGAAAATGATTTACCCCGAAGTCACACTGTTCTTAGGGGGGACACAGGGAGGGGCTGCGTGCTGGCTGAGTCTCGGGGCATCAAAGTTCAGGGGCCTGGCAGAAGGAGAGAAACTGAAGCCATGTTTGGTTAACAACTGTGTCAGAACAGCAAAAACCAAAACCTGTCCCATTGGAAAGTCAGCTAACAATATCCGGAATAAAATTAAATGTAGGTTCTTCTTTAGAAATTTGTTGTGTAGTCAAGTGGCTTCTTTTTTCATTTTTCCTAGATGGGTTTTTATTTCATGGGAACTATATATGTTTGCACAACAAGAGGTGTTTTCCACCTTACATATGTCTGCTTGCTCAGGTACTATATGAGCAAAAGCAATGTGATGGCTAGTGCAACCTCAGCCAGTGAACCAGTTGCTTTTGTTGATCTGTGATGAAGGCACCAGTTTAATGTAACCTGCAACTTTTCCTGACGACATAGGATGATTTCTAATCATATGTTCATGGCACCCCATTAAGGCAAAAACACTCTAAAATGCATCCAGCTGTCTTTTTGATGGATAGGCAGGTAATTAGCAGGGTTCCTCAAAATAGAATCTCCATCTGAAATAGTTTGGTGGTCATGCCTAGAGAAAAGTTTCAGGTAAGAAGTCCATCATTGGGTTTCCTTTGAGGTGTATATAGACAAAGGGGTGACCAAATATTATAAGAGTCATTGGCCTTCAATTTAGCATCGTGGAGTTGGTTAACTGTAGCTGATATGGTTCCTTCCACCAGGGTTAGAAGGAATCATTTTCTGATGGTATTTTCAGTAAACTTATCTTCTAGGTTGGAGGTCATGATCTTTGATGTCTACATATCCTGGGGGCTTGATGTTAAAAGATTCTTTAATTGATTTAACTTTTTCAGTGAGAAGCTTTCTAAGGCCTTTATAAAAAAGACCAGTATCACTTTTAAGGAGATCTTTTTTATATGCTACTTAATCCAGGTGCATGGACTTTTCTGTTGTTATTTTAAAAAGATAAATCTGACGTTTTCCAAGTGGGGTAGAACTTACGTTAAACATACCAACATAGGAGTCTTAGGACAGAGAAGATTAAAAGATTCTGTAAACTTTGTCAGTAGATTTTGAATTACCTCATTTGCATATTCCATTGGTCTGGAAGACTGAGGGTGGTATGCACAATGGAAATGCTGAAAATTTGGCCATGTGTTGCAAATAGACTGAAGTGTTTGACCAGTGGAAGGCGTTTCCCAGTATCTCAGAAGCTCAGAAGAAAATCCCCAAGAAAGAATAAGAAGAGATTAAAAGTTGTCATAACTAAAGACACAATCCACAAAGAAATCTGGTCATTTTCTTTGATTTTTAACAGTTTACTGTAAAGGTGAACCAAATCTTTCATTTTCTCCTAACAATGCTTTATGAAAATGTTGTTTAAATGATAAAGCCAAAGTTTACCCCTGAAGTTTTGTATTATTAATATTAAAGCTAATTTTAATAAGACCTTATAAACAAATTTATCCAATCTCAATCAGCTTTGACCACACAAGAAAAGATTTCTTTATACCTTTTATAATCTCTTACAATTTTTCCATTCTCTTTCTTCCTCTAACTCTCTATGCCAACTCAGTTTATCTATTTTGTTTTGTTCCTTTATTCTTTCAGTTGAATTCAAGTTTTAAATGTTCTCTAAACTAGGCAAAGTTAATTTTTTACCAGAAATCACATTCTTATTTCTATTTTTTATAATCTTTTACACAAGAAAACACATTATTTTCTTTATACACTCTGCATGTAGAATTGTTTCTGTTCTTTTTTCTAGTATTAGTTACCATGTGTTAGTAGGAATTGTAAGTCTTAGTAACTTTAATTCATTGTGAAAACCTAAAAAGCTGAGAAGTTTAACTGTGGCTCACATACTAATAATTTATGAATATGCATTTTATAATTTTTAGAAGCATAGGTTTTGTAATGGAATAATCTTTTAATGTGAAAAAGTGTATTTATTAACATCTAAATATTTTTACCTCTGAAATAAGAAGCCTAAAATATTATATATAAGCTTAAATTCATATTTAGTAATTAATATCTTAACTTATATCTTACTTGGAAATGATCTATTTTTGGTGACTATCCATCATTTAATTTAGTTTAGGAAAAATACCAAAAACAGTTGAAAAACATTTTTATGCAACTATAGTATGAAGCATACTTATTTTTATACATTCAGTTATAAACTTTTAGTCCATTTATGTCTGTTTCATATATTCATTGATAACAATTATGGTTGTGTAGTCTCATGACATTAGACAAATCTAGCCATCATCTCCGGTTGAACTTATTATCAAGCAGGAAAGTATCATAAAAGGAACAACCTTAAAGTTCAGTATATGCATATTTTGCTGATAAGTCAGAAGACATAGTTGTTTTCATTAAACTAACAATATTTCACAAGTCATAGGGACCAAAATATTTACTCAAGTCACATAAACTTGAAAAATATTTGGGCGTATTTGTTTAATTTATTAGCATTCATTTACCTTTCAGTGAATTTTGTAGGCAGTATAGAAGCGCATGTATAAATGTATACATTCATGTAGACCCAATATATAACTTAACATATGAACACATGCATGCAACTAAAAGCCAAAGAAAATGAGGCATTAATTGTAGAGGAGAGTAGAACTTTATCCCAGAGAAGAGCCTGTCTACCCACAAGTCTTAGGGTTCCATGAGGGAAAAGCAGTATCCTGCCAAAAATGATGGAATCTGTGGTGCCTTTTGACATCACTTGTGAGACTGTTGGAAATTCAGGCTTCACCCCAGATCTCCTGAATCAAAATCTGCATTTCAACAAGATCTCCAGTTCCTTGTTGTACACATTAAAGTTTGAGAAGTGCTTTTTAACTCAGCATGACTTTCTATCTGGAATATTTATACAACTAATCCTCTGTGATGTAAATGTAGCACTCAAAAATGTAGATGTTTGTTGGTGTCTTGAACTTTACACCTTGTCATGCAGAAAACGATAGTGTCTACACTGGTTTTGTGGATCTTATGTCCTCTCTCCTGAGAGTTAGAGAATACATTAGAGAATATTTGTGTGTTAAAAACTATCCTTTCAAACAATAGCAGTCACTCATTTGAGTGACAACCAGTACTCTCCTTTTCTCACTTCGCCTAGAGTCACATTAAGAACTCTTCCCACCACGAGCATGTTGTAAATAAATGTTTTTCTTTCAGGGACCATTGACATTCAGGGACGTGATCATAGAATTTTCCCGAGACGAGTGGGCATGCCTGGACCCTGCCCAGAAGAATTTGTACAGGGATGTGATGTTAGAGAACTTCAGAAACCTGTTCTCCCTGGGTGAGGATAAATTCAATACACAATTTCTATACCACATGAAGGATTTCGTATCCTTCCCTTATAGAATGATTTCTGGGAGTTCCTCTTGTATGTGAAAGACTTTCATATCCTTGTTTCTGAGCAAAACTTGGGGATTTGTTAGTATAGGAAAAAACTCTTCAGCATGTTTTATGTTGACATTGGTCTTAACCTTTATAGAGCTGATCTGTATCCTTCACTCTAGATGAGTGATAATTTCAGAAATGTAGTGGCATAAAATATTGTTACACACACTGTTAAAACCCGTTTCCACCATCCATTTTTAATTTACTACTACGGGGTAATAGATCTAAGGACCCACAAATTTTAAAAACTTCCTAAATATTCTCAAGATTCTATCATAAAATGATACTTATTGGTTAATTTTCTAAAATCTTCCATAGCATTTTTTTCCTCTCTACTGAGGACAGTACTAGATTGGTAATTCAAGAATACCAGCAAGAGTGATATAACTTTTTTCTAATAAAACAGGTCTTGTCATCTCTAAGGCAGACCTGATCCTCTGTCTTAAGCAAAGGAAAGAACCCTGGAGTGTGAAGAGACATGAGACAGTAGCAAAATACCGAGGTAAGTGGAAATGAGTGAAGGCGATGACACAGGTGAGAGGTCCAAAGGTCAAGGAGGAAGCCAGACCTTAAAATGTGTTTGGGAAACTCTGCTCCAATGCAAAGGGTTTCCGAGCAGCCTGTGTTTCTTTGTCTTGTTCTTGCATATGGGCATCTGTGTTCCTTGTTCTTAAATATATAAGGACTTGAGTTTCCCTTCAGTGATCTCCCTTTGAGGTTATAGTGAAAACCCAAGTCTCGTTCATGGCTTATAGGGGACTGCAGGATCTGACTGCTCTTCCACTGCTATTCAGGACATGGGAATATCTATGTATGTTTTGAGACACTCTATGTTAAACCATTTTTTAATTTCCCTTTTGCATCATATGTGAAATGTGTGAATGTAGTGGTGATATTGGTATTTGGTTTAGAAATTCCAAAACATCACAAGCAGAGGTATGTTTTCTGCTTTATGGTTTCCTATCTTGTGGAAGTATAACATGTGATTATACATGTGAAGTATTACATGTGATTAATTTCTGCAGAAATTCATTCTCATTAACATTATCAAACACTAAGCATCTTCCTAAATACAATAAAATGTAATGTTATTTTACTTCTAAATTCTGTTTCTAGCGTGAACTGTGAATAATAATTTAAAGACTGGGCCGGGCGCGGTGGCTCACGCCTGTAATCCTAGCACTCTGGGAGGCCGAGGAAGGTGGATTTCTCGAGGTCAGGCGTTCAAATCCAGCCGGAGCAAGAGTGGACCCCGTCTCTACTATAAATAGAAATAAGTTAATTGGCCAACTGATATATATAGAAAATATTAGCCAGGCATGGTGGCTAATGCCTGTAGTCCCAGCTACTCTGGAGGCAGAGGCAGGAGAATCACCTGAGCCCAGGAGTTTGAGGTTGCTGTGAGCTAGGCTGACGCCACGGCATTCACTGTAGCCTGGGCAACAAAGCGACACTCTGCCTCAAAAAAAAAAAAAGGACTGTATGGGCAAATTTCTCATGTTTCATATAGTTTAATATACTCCCTCCATTTCTTAAGTACGCTGTTATTGGGAAGCCTAGAACATTGTCGAGCATGTGTCAAACTTCCACTTATTTGTTTACATTTTATGATTTTCTCTTGTTTACTATGAATCTCACTGGGACTGTGCTATTCATATTAAGATGTGTTTATAGATATATACACACATGTAAATATGTGTGTAGGTATGTTTGTGTGTGTGACATGGACTTTTTTCACAAATAAAAGTATAATTATGTAATTAATATATACAATGTAATGACTTGATATGTGTATACATTTTTTTTTTTTTTTTTTGAGACAGAGTCTCACTTTGTTGTCCAGGCTAGAGTGAGTGCCGTGGCGTCAGCCTAGCTCACAGCAACCTCAAACTCCTGGGCTTGAGTGATCCTTCTGCCTCAGCCTCCCGAGTAGCTGGGACTACAGGCATGCGCCAACATGCCCGGCTAATTTTTTTATATATATATCAGTTGGCCAATTAATTTCTTTCTATTTATAGTAGAGACGGGGTCTCGCTCTTGCTCAGGCTGGTTTTGAACTCCTGACCTTGAGCAATCCGCCCGCCTCGGCCTCCCAAGAGCTAGGATTACAGGCGTGAGCCACAGCGCCCGGCCATGTGTATACATTTTTAAATGATTAAATCAATCAAGTTAGCATATCTAACACTTCACAGTTTTGTTTCTTTTTGTTTGTGAGAACACATAAGGTGCACTGTCAGCAAATTTTAAGATATAAACCATTATTATCAGCTACAGTCAGAATGCTATACATTAGATCCACAAAACGGATTCATCTTATAACTGAAAGTTTGTATCCTTTGAACAACATCTCCATTTTTCCTCACCTCAAGCCCTGGTAACCACCTCTGTACTTCCTGCTTCTATGAGTACAACCTTTTGGGTTCCCCTTGTGAGGGAGATCATGCAGTATTTGTCTTTCTGTCCCTGGCTTATTTCAGTTACCATAATGTCCTGCATGTACATTTATATTGTTGGACTGACTGAAAAATGTTTTTTATAACCAAATTATCTATTGCATATATATATATATTTTTTTCTTTGTTCATCCAGCAATCTGAAACATTTAGGTTGTTTCTATATCTTCACAATCATGAATAATGCCGCAATTAACATGGGAGTGCAGGTATTATTATTTATTTGAGACACTGATTTTATTTCTTTTGGTTATATACACAGAAGTGAGGTTGCTGAATTGTATGGTAGCTGTGTTGTCTTCTTTTTTCTTTTTTTAAAGAACCTCCGTGTTTGTTTTCATAATTAATCTGTCAATTTACAAAACATCATTAGTATACAGGATTTTTTTTTCTTCATATCCTTGTCAAAACTTGTCTTTTTTTGATATTAGCCATCCTAACAGGTATGAACTAATATTGCATCATAATTTTGACTTGCAATTCCCTGATGATTGGTGATGTTGAGTACATTTTCACATACCTGTTGGCCATTTTTATGTTTTTATTGGGAAAATATCTATTCAGTCCTATGCCTAGTTTTAAATGAGTTGTTATCATTGCTTTTTCTTTTGATTTGTATGAGTTTTTAATCTAATTTGGATATTAACCTCTTGTAAGGTATATGGTTTTCAAATGTTTTCTCCCATTCCTTAAGTTTTCTTATTTTGTTGTTTGCTGTGCAGAAGGTTTTTAGTTTGATGTAGTCCAACTTATTTATATTTGCTTTTGTTTTCACACTTTTGATGTCATATCCAAAAAAATCCATTATCAACATCAATATGAAGAAGGTTTTTCATGTGTTTTCTTTTCATATTTTTAAGAATGCATGTCATATTCAAGTCTTTATTTTGAGTTAATCTTGTGGGATGCTATAGGAAAAGTTGGTCTTATTTTATTCTTGTAGATGTCCAGTTTTTCTAGCACCAATTTTTTTTTTTTTTTTTTTTTTTGAGACAGAGTCTCGCTTTGTTGCCCAGGCTACAGTGAGTGCCGTGGCGTCAGCCTAGCTCACAGCAACCTCAAACTCCTGGCTCAAGCAATCCTCCTGCCTCAGCCTCCCAAGTAGCTGGGACTACAGGCATGCGCCAACATGCCCGGCTAATTTTTTCTCTATATATTAGTTGGCCAATTAATTTCTCTCTATTTATAGTAGAGACGGGGTCTCGCTCTTGCTCAGGCTGGTTTCAAACTCCTGACCTCAAGCAATCCGCCCGCCTTGGCCTCCCAGAGAGCTAGGATTACAGGCGTGAGCCACTGCGCCCCGCCTCTAGCACCAATTTTTAAAGAGACTATAAATTCTGCATTGTATATTCTTACTGTTCTTGTCAAAGATTAGCTTGCCTTGTATGCATGGATTTATTTCTGAGCTCTCTATATTTTTCCATTGGTTTTTCTGTCATATTTAATGTACATACTGTCATATTTTTCATACCATCATGTTTTATTAGTGCATTTTTGAAATATGGTTTAAAATCAGAAAATATCATGCTCCTACCTTTGTTCTTCTTCAAGATTACTTTGGTTATTCAAAGTCTATTGTAGTTCCATAAAAATGTTAGAATTTTTTATTTTTTTGGAAAATTCTCTTGGAATTTTTTTTTTTTGAGACAGAGTCTCACTGTGTTGCCTGGGCTAGAGTGCCGTGGCATCAGCCTAGCTCACAGCAACCTCAAACTCCTTGGCTCAAGCAATCCTCCTGCCTCAGCCTCCCGAGTAGCTGGGATTACAGGTACGCATCATGGTGTGCGACTAATTTTTTTTATTTTTAGTTTTTTGGCTAATTCCGTTGGAATTTTGACAGGGAGTTTATAGAAGCTATAGATCACTTTGGTTAATATAGTACTTTAACAATATTTGTTCTTCCAAACCATAATCATGGGCTATTTTTACATTTATTTGTGTCTATTTCTCTCATCAATGTCTTATATTTTTCAGTCTAAAGCCTTTTCACCTCCTTGGCTAAATTTATTGCTAAAAATTTAATATCTTGATACTTTTATCAATGCAATTTTTTGTTTTACTTTTTTATTAGGTTGTTGTTAATGTAGGAAAGCACTGACATATGTGTATGTTAATTTGATATTCTGACCATTTATTGAGTGAATATTTTACTTTAAAATTTTTCTTTTAGTCTGGGCGTGGTGTCTCATGCCTGTAATCCTAGCACTCTGGGTGGCCAACGCAGGCGGATTGCTCATGGTCAGGATTTGAAAACCATCATTCATATGATTTTTAAACTGCTTTTTCTTTTCTGTAAAATATGACATTGAGAATTTTAAGGGTATTGAATTGAATTTGTAGATCCTTTGGGGCAGTAGGGACATATTTACAGAAGTAAGTCTTCCAACCCTTGAACAAAAGCATTTTCAAGAATGTGTCATTTAGTTTCCATTTATGTTTGGATTTTCTGGCTTGCCTTCTGTTATTAATTTCTAATTTTATTCCATTTAGGTTGGTCACAAAAAATACTGTGTTTCCCCGGAAATAAGACAGGGTCTTATATTTATTTTTCCTCAAGAAGACACCCTAGGGCTTATTTTCAGGGGATGTGTTATTTTCTCTGGGCTCAGTAGGAGACTGTTTGCTGAAGCTTTCCCCCTATCCCCTGGTGTTTGTGGGGGTGAGAGGCCCACAGTGCTGAGTAAAATGGCAGCCACAGCTTTCCTTCTTCCCCCTGGAGACACATAATACTAAAGTGGAGCATCCCGCTCCTCACTTCACTGAGGAGACTTTCCCCTCAAAGCCTCAGCTTGCAGCATGCAGAGGGTGGCCGGGACTTGACAGGAGGAGCAGACCTTGTTGGTGGGGCTGCCCGCACCTTTCCAGTCACCTCTGGGATAGTAGCTGTCACGATGGGGCAGATGAGAAGGGCTGTTCGTCTTCTTTACCGCTCCATGACAAAATGCATGGGTTGTGCAGATTTGCTGTGTAGCCATGCCCATCACTAGGTCTTATTTTCAGGGTAGGGCTTCTATTGCGCAAATGCTTAGAAATCCTGCTAGGGTTTCTAGCAGGATTTCTGCTAGAAATCTGGGTCGGTCTTATTTTTGGGGAAACATGGTAGTCTGTAAGATTTTACTTTTTGAAAGTTTGTAAAGAATTGTTTAGTGTCCTAACAGGTGTTGAATCCAGAACCCTGTCTTATGAGTTATTGAAAAGATTGTGTATTGTGCTGTTGTGTGGAGTGTTCTTTGAATATCTATTAGATATACTTGTATTATTTTAGTCTTTTTGAGACAAGGTCTCACTCCACGGGCCCAGGCTAGAGAACTATGGCGTCAGCCTAGCTCACAGCAACCTCAAACTATTGGGCTCAAGCAATCCTTTTGCCAAACTCCTGAGTAGCTGGGAATACAGGCATGCGCCACTGTACCCAGCTAATTTTTTGTTTATTTTAGTTGGCCAATTAATTTCTTTCTATTTTTAGTAGAGATGGGGTCTCAAGGTCAGGGTGGTTTTGAACTACTGACCTTGAGCAATCCGCCCACCTCGGCCTCCCAGAGTGTTAGGATTACAGGCATGAGCCACCGCACCTGGCCAGATATACTTGTTTTACAGTGCTTTCAAGTTTTCTGTTCCTTTATTAATATTCTGTGTTGCATTAGTATTCGTAACCAAAAGTAGGGTATTGAATTATCCTAACATTATTATATTGCTATGTGTTTCTTGATTCAGTTTTGTCAGTGTTTCCTTTACATATTTTGCAACTCTGATTTTATACAGATATATATAACATTATAAATATAAATATAGAAAAATAAATGATCGGTTCTCAGTGAATGAATAATTTTTTATTATTTAATATTCTTGGCTGGGCACGGTGGCTCACGCCTGTAATCCTAGCACTCTGGGAGGCCAAGGCGGGAGGATTGCTCAAGGTCAGGAGTTTAAAACCACCCTTAGTAAGAGCAAGACCCCGTCTATACTATAAATAGAAAGAAATTAATTGGCCAACTAATATATATAGAAAAAAATTAGCCGGGCATGGTGGCGCATGCTTGTAGTCCTAGCTACGAGGGAGGCTGAGGCAGAAGGATTGCTTGAGCCCAGGAGTTTGAGGTTGCTGTGAGCTAGGCTGACGCCACGGCACTCACTCTAGCCTGGGCAACAAAGGAAGACTCTGTCTCAAAAAAAAAAAAAAAAAAAATATATATATATATTCTTGTTTGTCTTTTTTGACAAGTTTTCCTTAAAATATATTTTATCAAATAGGACAGGTTTTGCCTCAAAATATATTGTGCCTAATTGTCACCTCCCCTGCTCTCATTGGACTAACATTTGCTTGGAATGTCTTTTTCTGTCTTCCCAATTTTAAGTCCATTTTTGTCATTTCATTGATGATGAGTCTCTTGCAGACAATATAGTTACTTTGTTTTATTTTCTTATATTCCTATCTTTATTCAATTTGTCTTTTGTTTGCGAAGTTAAGCCCATGCATATTTATATAATTTTCTGAAATGGAGGGAGTTACAATTATTATTATTTTGATTCTTGTAGCTATTTTGCCCCATTTTTCTCTCTTTGTGTCTCATTGTGTTTTGTAATGTCTTGCTTTGACTTATTTCTTATTATTTTAGTGTATTTCTATAGGTATTTTGGTTACCACCATGATTATACACTACTTCTTATAGTTATAAGAATATATTTAAACTGGTAACATTTTAATTTTAGTTGTATATAAAAATTCTTCCTCATTACCTGTTCCCTCAACTGTGTTACTGATATCACCAGTTATATCTTTTTACATTGTATCCCTTAACAGAAGTTTAGTGGTATTTTTATGTTTTTGTCTTCCAGTTTTAGAGCAGGACTAAAAGTGTTTTCTGTACCATCAGTATAATACTACAGAATTTTACCTAAGTGAACCTATGTATTTTTCCAAGAGAGTTGTTTATTTTTATATGAGTTTGTTTTGTTTTCTGGCATTTTTTATTTTCAATGCAAGGGGCTCTCTTTAGCATGTTTTTGTGGGGCAGGTCTAGTGGTGATAAACTTTTTCAGAATAACTATCTTGTAAATCTTTATTTTTCTTTATTTAAATAGGCAGTTTTGCTGGATATAGTGTTTCTGCTTTGAAATTTTTATTCTTTTACCAAGTGACACATTATTTTTATCCTGCTGCTTTGAAGATTCTCTTCTTGTGTGAGGCTTACAAAACTTTGCTTATAATCTACCTTGTTATGGGTTCCTTGGTGTTTTTGCAGCTGAAGTATGTTGAGCTTCTTGATTTTTTATGTCTTTATTCTTACATTAGAAAATGTCTCAGTCATTTATTTTATCATATGCTTCAGCTACATAATTTCATTTGTTTCTCTTTATGCTTTTATTTTTCATTGATATTCTCATTTTTCTGATTTCATTTAGCAATCAGTATTGTTCCCATATCACTCATTATGCATAATTCACATTATTTTAGTTTAGTTTAGTTTAGTTTTTCTTTAATTTTAGAGGCACAGGCTTGCTCTGTTAGCCTGGCTTGAGTGCAGGGCTATCATGATAGCTCACTGAAACCTCAAATTTCTGGGCTGAAGCAATTCTCCTGCCTCAGCCTCCCCAGTAGCTGGGACTACCAGTGTGCCCCAACATGCCAGCTAATTTTTCTATTCCTAGTAGAGATAGCATCTAATTCTTGTTCAGGCTTATCTCAAACTCCCAACCTGAGGTGATTCTCTCACCTTGGCCTGCAAGAGTGCTAAGTTTGGAGGTGTGAGCCACTTGGCCCAGCCCACATGTTTATTTTTATTTTTTTCAGATAATTTATTCATTTCCATTCCTTTGTGGTTTATTTCTTATTATTCTGCTTCATTGATCCCGCTATGGTACCCTGATATTTTGTATGTGTTGTAATCTTTGCTAGAGATTTGAGGATTAACAGAAAGCCACCTTTTACAAACTTTATCAAGTGGCGTTCTCTTGGGAAACTCTGAAAGCAATTGACTGCACTAGAGATACAAGAAGCCTCAAATCTGTTCTCATGATATTTCTTCTGTGGAATTTTGTGTTTATTTTCCAGTAAAATCAATTTTCCCACATTTCCTTGGAAAAGCCTGTCATTATTTGCTATACCTGTTCCCTGGCTGTGGTATCCAGTCCTTCTGTTGCCGTAACAATTGTTTCTCTTTGGTTTCATAATACCCAGTCTGTCCTTCAAATGCTAGCACCATTCTTTCATCCACTGTGTGTTAGGGTACATAGAAAACAGTCTTTGTAATGGCTCCCAAAAGCCAGAAGGATGGTCATAACTATCACTATTTTCTTTCTCGCTTCAGGGAGAAACTGGGGTTTAGGAATTTACTTTTATATGCACTGTGCTGTATTAAGTAGGAAAGACCATTGTGGGTAAATATAACAAACTTTTCTTTTTCCTCTATATTGCTCTTTGCATTGTGTTCACCTGGTGTGCTGCATACTCTCACTTGGCAATTAGAATTCTCACCAAGACAACTTGTTCAGGATAATTTTCTTATGGTTATTTATCTAAAAGAGAATTAGGGACTCTATATTATATTATGCCATCTTTCTAATGTGCTTGATATAATTTGACATTTTAAATTTGGAATGGATATTAATGTGATTAAGAAAAAGAAGACATAAGTGGAATAATTTGTTATTTTTTAAATTTCTTTCAGCTATGTCTTCTCATTTAACCCAACACCATTTGCCAGAACAGGGCATAAATGTTTCATTTCAAAAAATGGTACTGAGAAGATATGGAAGCTGTGGCCTTGAGAATTTAAACTTAATGAGAGACTGGGAAAGTGTGGGTGAGTTGAAGGAGCAGAAAGGATGTTATAACGGAGTAAACCAATATTCAACATCTGCCCACACCAACATATTACAGTGTAATAAATGTTTCAATGTCTTCAAAAAATTCTCAAATGTAAATAGATATAAGATGAGACTTACTGTAGTGAAACCTTTTAAATGTAAAGAATGTGGAGATGGCTTTAACCTATGTTCACATATTATTGAACATAAGAACATTCATGATGGAGAGAAACCTTACAAATGTAAACAATGTGGCAAAGTATTTAAATCTTGTTCAAGCCTTTCTAATCATGACACAATTCACACTGGAGAGGAACCCAACAAATGTGAAAAATGTGATCAAGCTTTTAACTGGCGGTCATCCTTTACTAAACATAAGAGAATTCAGGCAAGGGAAAAACCCTACCTGTGTGAAGAATGTGGCAAAACCTTTCATTGCTCCTCATACCTTTCTGCACACAAAAGAATTCATACTGGAGAGGAGACCCACAAATGCTATGAATGTGGCAAAGCCTTTAATCTGTTGTCATGTCTTACTAAGCATAAGAGAATTCATACTGGGGAGAAACCATACAAATGTGAAGAATGTGGCGAAGTCTTTAAACAGTGTGCACATCTTTATGTGCATAAAAGAATTCATACTGGACATAAAACCTACAAATGTGAAGAATGTGGCAAAATCTTTCACATATTTGAACGACTTAATGTACATAAAAGAATTCATAATGGAGAGAAACCCTACAAATGCGATGATTGTGGCATAGCCTTTAATCGGCTCTCACATGTTACCAGGCATAAAAGAATTCATGCTGGAGAGAAACCCTACAAATGTCAAGAATGTGGCAGAGCCTTTAAACTGTACTTATACCTTACTTCATATAGTAGAATTCATACTGGAGAAAAAACGGACAAATGTGAAGAATGTGACAGAACCTTTCAACAGTACTCCTACCTTTCTCAGCATAAAAGAGTTTGTACTGGAAAGAAACTCTACAAATGTGAACAATGTGACACAGCCTTTAAACCGTACTCATATCTCTCTGAACATGGAAGAATTCATACTGAAGAGAAACCCTACAAATGTAAAAGATGTGACACAGCTTTTAAACGATACTCTGACCTTTCTGAACATAAAAGAATTCATATTGGAGAGAAACCCTACAAATGTGATGAGTGTGGCAAAGCCTTTAATCAGTTCTCGCATCTTACTGAGCATAAGAGAATTCATACTGGAGAGAAACCTTACAAATGTGAAGAATGTGGCAAATCCTTTAATCGGGTCTCAAATCTCACTATGCATAAGAGAATTCATACCGGAGAGAAACCCTGCAAATGTGAAGAATGTGGCAAAGCCTTTTATCGGTTCTCAAATCTTACTACGCATAAGAGAATTCATACTGGAGAGAAACCCTACAAATGTGAAGAATGTGGCAGAGCCTTTAATCAGTTATCAAATCTTATTAGGCATAAGAGAATTCATACTGGAGAGAAACCCTACAAATGTGAAGAATGTGGCAAAGCCTTTAATCGGGTCTCAAATCTCACTATGCATAAGATAATTCATACTGGAGAGAAACCCTGCAAATGTGAAGAATGTGGCAAAGCCTTTAATCGGTTCTCAAATCTTACTATGCATAAGAGAATTCATACTGGAGAGAAACCCTACAAATGTGAAGAATGTGGCAGAGCCTTTAATCAGTTCTCAAGTCTTACTAGGCATAACAGAATTCATACTGGAGAGAAACCCTACAAATGTTACCGAGCCATTAACCAGTACTGATACCTTTTTGTACATAAAGGAATTTATATATGAGGAAACTCTAGAAATGTGAAGAATGCAGCAAAGTCCTTAAATATTGCCCAAGGATTTCCAATCATTAGATAATTCATACAAGAGAGGAACCCTGCAAATATGAAGATTGTTAAAAAGCTGTTACCTTATTATACATGAGAAAAAATTATACATTAGCAGAATCCTAGAATTGTAAACAAAGTGGGAGAGCCTTTAATAACTTTATCTAAATATTACATATTTCTCAATGTCAGGCAGTCATGTTGGGTAACCGTGATATAAATGTATAACTGTCAAACTATCTTGCAAAAAGTAAAAGTCTTCGAATGTATGAGAGTATAGTGGAAAAAATAGTACAGCTTTAAAGAGTGGTGCAATACATACTTTTATCACAGATCTTATTGAACATAGGATAATTTATACTTGAACAAAACCAACTATCAATTGCTCAAACTTTAAGGTCATTGACTTTGGAGTGTAGAGAAACTCTACAAATGTAGTAAATGCTGAAAAACATTTTGTTCAAAAAACACATCTTGGAAAACACCAGAGTTTATACTAAAAGATATTTTACAAATGCCACAATGTGAATAAGTATTTAATAAAAAATCATGTATAGATCAACATTAGAGGATTTCTGGTAAAAAGAAATAAGGCACCAATATACTCAGAAATTACTCAAAAGTAGAGTGTTGGTTATAGAGAATAATCCAAAATTAAAATAGGTAGAAAATTTATGTGTACATATGTTTAAAAGAAGTAGATTCTTTTTTGCTTAGTTACAATTACACTGAAAATATCATTTTTTGCATTAAAAAATTTAGATTTTTGAAAATTAAATATCGATGCAAATTACTCAATGCTATACGTTCATTAGAGATTTTATAAAAACGTCAAGTTTTGCTGCATCAAGACTATCAAAAGTTCTTTTTATATTAGGTGGGAATTATTAATACAGTCTTGTAAAGCATATTAAGCCCACTGAAATGTATGATGGGTGGAGAGTCTCACTGGGGAACCTCTGTATGATTTACTTGTAAGAGTGTTGTAAGTGATGTCAGAGGTAGCCATGCAGAGTAATATTCTTCTCCATTATAATTGGAACCCCTTTGAATTGTACAAGTAAATTGTTTTAGCAATTCCATTAAGATAACTTAGGTAATAAAATATATATTTTGCAATGCATATGTAAAACAGTATTGTCAACTTAATTTCTTTTAATAGAATGAAATTGTGTGTAATTTGTCAAGACTGTTGTGAAAAATGAAGTCTTATTGTTTCACTAACATTAACCTATCCCACCTTATTCAAGGTTGTAGGTACCAGATGGTACCAATATACTCTTGGAGGCCGGTCATGGTGGCTCATGCCTGTAATCCTGGCACTCTGGGAGGCCGAGGCAGGCAGATTGCTCGAGGTCAGGAGTTCGAAACCAGCCTGAGCAAGAGTGAGATCCTATCTCTACTATAAATAGAAAGAAATTAATTGGCCAACTAATATATATAGAAAATATTAGCCATGCCTATAGTCCCAGCTACTTTGGAGGCTGAGGCAGCAGGATTGCATGAGTCCAAGAGTTTGAGGTTGCTGTGAGCTAGGCTGACGCCATGGCACTCACTCTAGCCTGGGCAACAAAGCGAGACTCTGTCTCAAAAAAAATATATAGATATATACTCTTGGAGAACATAGTAGAATAACATCTCTAGTGGCATTAATTCCAGTAGGCCTTAAAGTGTAAATAATGTTAAGGATACTGTTTCTATAGGTTATATTTTTATTGCTTGTATACCTAAAGGATCATTATAATGTTTATCATGAAGGTTTAAAGGAGTATAATTAAAATCCACACAGAGCATTTTTGGGGAAAGGCACAGTGACTTACATGTGACTTGAATTGCACGTCATACACGAGGCTGTCCCAAAGCCCATGGAATTTAGCTGTGAGAGAATAAAACAAAGACCTAAAGTTAGGAAGGCAGGTGTTACACCCCCACTCAGTCTACCTGTGCCATAGGCATGCCCTGCTGCTCCACATACTGTAGACTAAGATCCTGACTACAAGTCAGTGTTAGTTCTTCACATTTTTTCTCAAATTTTAATTTTTCTAAAAAACTGAAGATGCAAAATAAATGCTGATCACTTATGACTTTTAACATAATTAAACAGAGTAAAAGGATTAGTTTTTATATTTTTTATTATGCAGGCTTTAGCACTAAATCCTCCACTCTTCCCACGCAATGACCTAACTTGTCCCTGGACTCTGCCTGTGACATCTGGGCGGCCAAGCCTGTGCAGAAGCACAGAGACAGTTGTCCTGAGCAGCTCAGCAGGATGGAGGGGCTCCATTAGCATCCTGAGCCTCCATCTGTGTACCCCATCTGAAAGCACAACAATCCTACATGGAAATCTGTATTGTCCTCTTTTGTGATAAACATTCCATTGTATAAGAGACAAAACATCCTACAAAACCTGGTCCTACAAAACCAATGGACACACAGAACTCCCTCGATGGACGGTCATGGCATGCCCCAGGAGCATGTGGTCTTCTGACCTCAGCCTCACTCAGCTGCCCCACGTTGCGCCACCCCACCTCACACCTGAAAGCAGAACCCAGTGACTTGCCGCAGTTCTGTTTTCTGTCTCCTCCTCCCAGTGTTCACTGCTGGGGCCATCTTCATTCAGCTGGAAGATGTGAAATGCAATAGTGCGTGCACTCAAATCAGTGGTCTGTAAGGTGAGGGAAAAACCAAAGAAATCTATGGAAATTTAAAATATCTCACTTTTTAATGCCAGTTATACAAATTAGGTGCTAAAGCCCAAAAACAGTTCAATGTATGGTATGTTAAAAACTAGTTCTTGGCCAGGCATGGTGGCTAACGCCTGTAATCCTAGCACTCTGTGAGGCTGCGGCAGGAGGATCACTCAAAGGTCAGTAGTTAGAAACCAGCCTGAGCAAGAGCATGACCTAGTCTCTACTAAAAATAGAGAGAAAATTAATTGGCCAAGTAAAATATATAGAAAAAATTAGCCAGGGATAGTGGCGCATGCCTGTAGGACCAGCTACTCAGGAGGCTGAGGCAGAAGGATCACTTTAGCCCAGGAATTTGAGGTTGCTGTGAGCTAGGCTGACGCCACAGCACTCTAGCCGGGGCAACACAGAGACACTCTATCTCAAAAAAAAAACAAAAACAAAATCAAAACTACTTCTCAAATTAGATGAAAAGGTTATTATTTCAGATTGAAGATTAGCTCTTTTTAAAATGTATACCCACCCTCCTCCCTTTGGCTCCTGTATTTATTTTTTATTAAAAGTTTACTGTTTTTTGTAATTACAAAGTAGCTCATGCTTCTTTAGAAATATGCCAACAATATAGAATGAAGAGCATCTCCTAAATCCAAGCTCAGAGATGTTATAGTGTACTCAGAGGTTTAATTTAAAATTGAATTCTACTACATAGTTTTCGAACTTGTGTCTTTTCCCACTTATTTCAGCTTAGAGACATTTTAACATCAGTAGATAGAAATCTATTTCATTCTTTTCAGTGGATACTCATATTTGGTGTAGATGTATAATGAATTGGTTCATTAACCAATCTGATTTTCAGACAGTTAAAATATTTCAATTTCTGAAGTTACTACCTCCTGCCTGGGAGGGGCTGGGGCCTGCAGCGTGCAGGGCATCCTTCCTCAGCGTCCCCAAGAGCCCACCGTACCGCTCCAAAACCTTACTTCAGTGACAGATACTTCTCTGAGTCTAAATATGCTGTAGAAGTCAAGAGGAAAGTAGAGTTTGAGGTCACTTGGAGAGAGGGATGTCTGGATGTTTCCCCAGAAACATCCAAAAAGACATACTTTAGCAAATTCACCAGCACTATCCTTTTTGAAGTCTAACACCAACCAACCAACCAACCAACCAACCAGCCAGCCAATGGATTAGGTCATCTTTCAGGGGCTGATGTGCATTCAGCAAGCTTCTGCATCCAGCATGACAAAGCATTAATCTACAGAGAAACTCTGCCCAGCAAGGGCACCAACACCTTGTACACGCCTGCCAGTATGTTCTTATAGGTTTTCATGTGGGAGGAAACTTTCTAATTTCGCTTTCAGGACTGTAATGTGGGTACTTGGACATTTTCAGTATGTCCCTCCATGCCACTGAGATGACAGAGGTGCTGTCTACCACTTACAGAAGGCCAGGATGTGCATCGTACAGCACTGTCACTACTATAGCTGTGGCTGAACCTGTTGCTTCTGTAGGCTGTTCTTTCAGCAGGTTTTGCATACCTGTGCTCTGCTATTCCCCAAGCTGTCTAATAGCAGGATCTCCAGAGGCTCCTGATAAATACATAGGCTTCCATACCCACACCCAGAAGACTCTACTTAGATGGTTTTGGTGAGGCCTGCAAATATGGGGGTTTCCACCAGCAACCCAGGTCATTCTCATCAATTAAATTTAGTAAAGTCTGCCTTGAGGACTTTTGGTTTTTTAACTCAGTGTTTTCTATATATACCCAATCATAAAATGACCCAGAGGATTTGCTACATATGCAGATTCTCAGGCCCCAGGCCTAATGAGTGACAATTACCAGACAAGGTGCCTGGGAATCTGTACATTTAATAAATGATCCAGATGGATCTTACACTATATTTGTTAAACACTGTACCTGACACCCAGCTAGGACCCACAGAAAGACTGTTTCACTACTAGTCTACAGAGGAACTTAGGGATCTGCATTTGTAATAAGATCCCAGGGTGTTTCTAGTGCTCAAGGTTTGTGGACCCCACTTTGAGAAATACTACTTTCCAGTTTGATATTTAATAGTATTACATTTCATGTCTGTGTTCTTAATGCCAAAGCACTGACAGCACTTAGTAAGAATTTGCACATCTCATTGCCTTTGCAAATGCTCTTCACAAACCCCCAGCTCTGTGTTTTAAAACTTTCCTACTTAACTTCTTAAACCTTTTAGTAATAAAATCTCACACATACACCAAACTAAAAAGAATAATTGAATATGTACCCATTATATTCACCAACTGATTCAAAATTTGGAACATTTGGTTTATCTAGTAATATATATTTATGTATGTGGAGTTTTTTTGCTGAATTATTTTAAAGTAAGCTGCAAACATCTTAACCCCCTACGCAAACATCTCAGTAAGAATGCCCCTTAAAAAAAATGAACAGGTACTCTACTTCATAACCACAATACCACGGTCACATCTAACACAATAATAATTACCTAATAATTAATTCTGAGCCTATGTTCAAAATGTCTTCAGTTGTCCTCAAAAGGTCTTTTATTGACATTTTTTTTCAAACCTTGATGCAATGAAGGATCACAGATTGCATATGATTGCTATGTGTGTTTGTCTCTTTTCATATGGAACAGTGCTGCTATCATTTGTTCTGGGCTGGTTGTCTTGGAGAATGTCCCTCTTTCTGGATTTGTCTGGTTGTTTCCTGATGAAGTTACAGTAAACATTAAAATGCACGAAAAACCATAATGCTTGGTGGTGTTTGTCCTTTCTCCATTCCTGAGAAATATAGTTCCTATATATGTATCATATATGTATGATGTACATCATATATACATGTCATATAATAGAAACAATACAAATATGTTTATATCACATATAGATAATATATTGATATTTATATCATATATATGTTTATATAGAGAGACAGATGTTTGCTCCCTCCCACCGCATATACCTTCTTTTTTCCTCTCAATCATAGTTGATAATAATAGCCTCCTAGATTGCTAGAATTACAGGTGTGAGCCATCATGCCCTGCCAGCCTATGGTTGCTGTAGAGAATTAGAAGTGAGAAAGTGGAAAGAACTGCGTTGGTCCATAAACACCAAGAAAAGTGTCCTGAACTATTAACACTGAGAGATCAGAATTGCATTGAGACAGAGGCATGGGCAGTAGCAGGAGTGACAGTGGAAATATTTAATGATGACTTCTCTGCTGTTAGGTTTCTGGACCTAAGCAAGTAACATGACTGCTTTTCTTCCTTCTCTCTGTAAAAATTACCTTAGCATAAGTTGGATTTTTACTTATATAACGTTACAGATTTGGGGTACTGTCTCCATTTGATAACTGGTAGTGTGGACTACTTGAGTTGTTATTGGGAAAAATTCAGGAGCCCAGAAAACCACATTGGAGAGCACTACCTAAGCCTTCAGTGAGTGCCACTCAATCTTGCTTAATTTTTCCAAGGGTGAGAGTCCCCTTCCTTTCTGTGGTTTCACAAAAGACTATATTTATAGGCTTGTTCCAGGAGGGTGAATAATAATAAATTTTCACATGACTATCCCAAGCATTCAGTCCTGGTGACCAGAATACATGCAGTGAGGAGAAGACCATAGCTTGACTCTTTAGTTATCAGTACTGAAGTGGTAACTGGTGAAAGTGCTGTGACTCTTAGTTATCAGTACTGAAGTGGTAACTGGTGAAAGTGCTGTGACTCTTAGTTATCAGTACTGAAGTGGTAACTGGTGAAAGTGCTGTGACTCTTAGTTATCAGTACTGAAGTGGTAACTGGTGAAAGTGCTGTGACTCTGAGTTATCAGTACTGAAGTGGTAACTGGTGAAAGTGCTGTGACTCTTAGTTATCAGTACTGAAGTGGTAACTGGTGAAAATGCTGTGTTTTCACTGCCTTGATAGGTGGGTGCTTTTCAAACTGCATGCCAAATACTGGCCAAATTTGATGACATCATGCAAGGGCATAGTCAATTGACTATTCATGTGTTTGGGATGGGAGAGTTTTAGTGTAGAAAGAAATGACAACAAATAATATTGACAGCAATAATTACTTACATATACTCACATCCAAAAGGTAGAAGGGACTATAAGTTTTGCAGGCCCACACAGAGTGAACTTGGGGGCAGCACAAACAAACAGGAGGTGTTGTGGGAAGGCTCTGTAGTATCAAGAAGGTGAGATGCTTCTGAATTCCCACAGAAGAATGTTACTGGTTTGTCTGAAAAATTATCTGGGCTGGCAGGGAACTGAAATGTGTTATTCCACCAACAATTAAGATTACGATAATATACCCTAATACTGTAATGCTGTAATACATCATATACTATCATGCTAACTTCAGTAACTCCTCACTTATAGCAAACACAAGGGAGTTTTCCACTGTTTTCAGAAACAAAAAGCATTGACTACAGTAATCATTAAATTTCCAATGAGCTTTATCTAAGGCAGTTCACAGCTGAAGAAGAAATGGAAACAAATACGTAAGACGCTGTTTGCACATGACATGATTATATATCTGGAAGCACGAGGGGAATTAGTAGAAAAAAACCTAACACAAAAAATAGTTGAGCAGACTAATACAAGATTGATGCACAAAACAATAGGCCTTCTAAATATAATTCACAATCATTTATGATTGCCATGTGATAAGAATACAACAAAAAGGTATACTATGATTTATAAAAAGTAAAGCAAAATTGCCTAAGAACAAATGTAATTAAAATATGCAGAGTATGTATGAGTTAAAAATAAAGAATTCATGAAATATATGAATAAAGACTTAACACATAGTGCATATTATTCTTTTTTTTTTTTTTTTTGAGACAGAGTCTCACTTTGTTGCCCAGGCTAGAGTGAGTGCCGTGGCGTCAGCCTGGCTCCCTAGCTCACAGCAACCTCAAACTCCTGGGCTCAGCGATCCTCCTGCCTCAGCCTCCCGAGTAGCTGGGACTACAGGCATGCGCCATCATGCCCGGCTAATTTTTTGTATATATATTTTTAGTTGGTCAATTAATTTCTTTCTATTTTTGGTAGAGACAGGGTCTCGCTCAGGCTGGTTTTGAACTCCTGACCTTGAGCGATCCGCCCGCCTCGGCCTCCCAAAGTGCTAGGATTACAGGCGTGAGCCATATTATTCTTGAATAGAAAAACTCAATAATATAAAGAAGTCATTTATCCATAAGCTAATTTCAACATTGTGTTTGCTGTCATAACAGATTCTGTCAGGATTTTTTAAAGCTAGCAATGGTTTTGCAAAGTGTACGTGGAAGAAAAAACATATGAGAATTGCCAAAATCCTTAACAAATAGAATGAGGATGTGTGATCTTATGAAAAATTAAAACACATTAAAATAGTCTACAGTTAAAATAGTTTGGTATTGATACGAAAATAGGCAAACAGATCAGGACAGTAGAAATTTCAGAAATGTGTCAAAGTGCGTAAGAGAAGAAAAGATATATAATAAAAACTACACGGGAAACCTTTATTAATATTTGGTGTTTCGTAACTGCATATACCTAAAGTGATGAAAATGGATTCATTCTTCATGCATTATAGTAAGATAAATGACAAAGGATAAGTCTAAATGGTAACAAAAGAAAGCATACAAAGGTAGTAGAAGGAAACATTGGTTAATATTTTTATAAGTTGTGATAAAATCTGGCATATGACTCAAAGAAATGTTAATTAAATATTGATAAAGTACACAATATAAAACCAGAATATTGTGAAAATTAGGAAGCACCATAAGTACAAAGTGAAATGCCAAATGGGACCTCTATTTGTAACTTATATGATATTACTATAACACACAAGGAAAAGCACACATCTGTGTTTATTCTAGAAAATAAGGAAGCTCTCTAGAAATAAGGAAACCATGAAAACATGGTTTCATGGCATAAGGACAAAACAGGCTATATGAAGGGTCCCTGGCTGACTTAAGATGAGATAATTGGAGCTCAAAAACAAATTTATATGGTGGTATATGAATTTACATTAAAATGTTGCAAAAATATAATTTATATGTGTTCTTTGTTTGCTGGGGCCACACCGTGATTATTATAACAATTGACAAAATTATCAAGCTTTTATCTTTGCTGATAGGTTCGTTTTATGCTCTTTTTTGAGACAGTGCCTTGCTGTTGCCAGGCTAGGGTGCAGTGGCAGATCCTACTTCAGCCTCTCATGTAGCATGGTCTGTAGGCACACACCACCATGCCTGGCTATTTAAAAAAAAATTGTACAGACAGAATCTTGCTACATTGCTCAGGTTGGTCTTGAATCCAGGCCTCAAGTGATCCTCCTGCCTCAGCCTGGGGAAGGGTTAGCATGACAGATGGAAGCCACTGTGCCTATTTTTTAATGTAATGAAGACCTCATGAGAATATGCAATTTGCAATAGAACTATGAGAACTAATACATGCAGATGATATAATAGAGTTAGAAAGCTGCTTTTTGGCAACCCTCGTCAAAATAAGTGAAATTAGAAAAATATTAATAAATGCCAAAAAATTATATGAAAGAAACAGGCAGACATTTCTTAGACTCATTGATCAATCTTAACATAAATAAAAGTGGAAAAACCAGACGTGCATCCAAATGTGCTTTCTGAATCCAGATGAGCTGGAAGTCTAAAATATAAGCTGGAAGTCTAAAAGATTGAGTACCAAACTAAAAAAAATACTTCATTAGTAATATTATATAGAACACATGCAGAAACATAATTTGGATATATTAGGTTAAATAATTACAATGCATAATTTGGATATATTAGGTTGAACAATTACAACCTAATATATTAGATTAAATAATTATAATTGTTATCCTATTAACAATTAGGTTAAATAATTAATTACAATCCAAACATAATTTGGATATATTAGGTTAAATAATTAAAATTGTAATATACAATTACAATATATAATTGTATATATACAATACATAGTTGTATATATACAATTATATAACCTAATAATTATATTAGGTTAAATAAGTACAATAATTACTATTTTCTGGTTATGTAATTAGAGGTCAGTTTGTGCTTTTTGGTTGGTTACTAAAGTTTGCTCCTAACGTAGTAATTTACACAAATAATTGCATTTTAATTATATTTGTGTATTGTTGGGTAGGAACCCATAGTCACTTCAGTCTAATTACCTCCTATTTAGTTATTTTAACCTTCCACAGAGGGAATGGTTTTCCCCTATGTTTTCCAAGTCCAGGGCGTGCAGGGTTCAAATGGCATGTGGTATGTGTTCCTTTTTTCTTTTCTGTTGCTACTACTGTGTTTCTGAGAAAATAAGACCTACCTATAAAATAAGCCCTAGCAGGATTTCTAAGCATTTGCACAATAGAAGCACTACCCGAAAAATAATACCTAGTGATGGGTGTCACTACACAGCAAATCTGCACAACCCATGCATTTTGTCGCAGAGCGATAAATAAGAGGAGCATCCCTTCTCATCTGCCCCTTGAGAGCTGTATTGCTGGACTTGAGAGATTGGGGCCAATGGTTCTTAAAGGAAATAGAATGGCAGGAAATTCAGGATGGAATTGGGGGTTTGGGGAGTTATGATGACGTTCCAGAAGAAGACAATTATATTTGAATAAATGTACATTGTTGTACCATACTTAAAAAAAAATGACACACCCCCTGAAAATAAGCCCTAGGATGTCGTCGTCGTCTTTTTTTTTTTTTTTTTTTTTGAGACAGAGTCTCGCTTTGTTGCCCAGGCTAGAGTGAGTGCCATGGCGTCAGCCTAGCTCACAGCAACCTCAAACTCCTGGGCTCAGGCGATCCTCCTGCCTCAGCCTCCCGAGTAGCTGGGACTACAGACATGCTCCACCATGCCCGGCTAATTTATTCTCTATATATTAGCTAGTCAATTAATTTCTTTCTATTTATAATAGAGACTGGCTCTGGATCTTGCTGAGTCTAGTTTCGAACTCCTGTTGTCGAGCAACCAGCCCGCCTTGGCCTCCCAGAGTGCTAGGATTACAGGCGTGAGCCACCGCGCCCGGCCATCTTGAGGAAAAATAAATATAAGACCCTGTCTTATTTTCGTTGAAACACGGTAGAAGTTTGACTCCCGTGGCCACACTTTATTCATAGCAGGCGCTGTTGCCTGAGGGGACCGCCTCCCGTTTTCAAACTCAGGCGGCCTCTTCAAAAGTGCAGAGGTCATGAGGTCAGAAAATCTGCAATTTAAAAGTAATTGCCATTATAGTGTTTTCCATTTGGAATATCATACATATTAGTAATATATGGATATAACCTCACACACCACAGTTAAACGTGAAGGTCCTTTAGGAAGTGCCAGATCCAGAGAAGAGAGGAAGCCCTGGTGGCAGCCCTGAATGTGAGGGATCCCATCACCTGTCACTCAGGGCCCAAAGGGGGCCCTGTCCAATGCGGAGTGTGGTAACGTCCAATCAGGCGCGCAACGGAAGAGGCGGGTCTTCCACGGAGGGGCGGGGCCTTCATCTCTGGCGCCGCCCTTAAAGGCCCGTCCACGTTCCCGCTCCGTCTCCATTTCGGTGTGGGAGTTCCGGGCGCTGTGCGTGGTCGCGTCGTCCTGCGGACGCTGGAGCTCCGTGTGGAGGATGGCGGGACCCGCCGGAGGCCGGAAACTGGTGAGTGTTTCCTTCCCCGGGGCCGGCGGCGGGACCCGGGCGCCCTGTGCCGTCCTCCCAGGCGCGCCGGGCGCAGCCGCAGCCCGTGTGGCAGCTCCGAGCCCGCAGCCCGCGTCCGCCCGGACAGCGCGGCGACGCCGGGACGGGCCTCGGGGGAGGCTGCGGCTCGGGGTGCGGGGCCGCGCGCGGGAGGAGCTCGCTGGCCCGCGGGGCCGTCCTCCCTCCTGTGGACGGCGGAGCCGGGGCGCTGTGGGGACGTTAAAGGGTTCGCGGAGAAACAGGAACGGTGGGTCCGGACGGCCAGCCGCGGTGTGGGGTCCGCTCGAGGGCTTGGAGGAGAGGCTTTAGTGAGGCCACGAAGCGGTCATCCTAGTTTTCTAGCTGGTTATAGTTGTGTAGGCCCTTTTTTTGGACTGCCATGGTGGGCATTTTCTGGTTATGTAATTAGAGGTCTGTTTGTGCTTTGTCCTTGGTTAAACATAAATTTTGCTCCTAACTTGGTAATTTACACAAATAATTGCATTTTGATTATATTTCTGTATTCTTGGGTAGTAACTCACAGTAACTTTAATTACCTCCTATATAGTTATTTTAACCCTCCACAGAGGGAGTGGTTTTCCCCTATGTTTTCCAAGGCCAGGGCGTGCAGGGTTCAAATCCAGCACTGTTGCTGCAGCATAACTCTTCTTGCAGTTGAAGTAAAATCCTAAACTTCCAGTTCCTTTTCCACATTCCCAAATGCCAACTTCCCCTCAGCAATACACAATCTCATGAGCTATTATTCTTTATTGTACTGTTCAAAGAGACAGAGTATTTATTTATTTATTTTCGAGACAGAGTCTTGCTTTGTTGCCCAGGATAGAGTGCCATGGCGTCAGCCTAGCTCACAGCAACCTCAATCTCCTGGGCTCAAGCAATCCTCCTGCCTCAGCCTCCCGAGTAGCTGGGACTACAGGCATGGGCCACCATGCTCGACTAATTTTTTATATATATATTAGTTGGCCAATTAATTGCTTTGTATTTATAGTAGAGACAGGGTCTCGCTCTTGCTCAGGCTGGTTTCGAACTCCTGACCTTGAGCAATCTGCCTGCCTCGGCCTCCCAGAGTGCTAGGATTACAGGCGTGAGCCACCACGCCTGGCTGATACAGAGTATTTTAATTGTTTATTATTTTTCACAAAACAGTGGTTGTCTTTAAAAAAATTGTTTTCTCTCGCTGAAAGTTTTCCAGGAGAGGAACTCAGAATATTCTCTCTAAAATATCTTTGTGCCTCTCCTCCTTTTATCTTTCCTAGGCATAGATATCTTCTCACATTGTCTTTAGGCTGAGTTTCTTCTTTGGAGACTTTACAGGGTGATCGACTGTCAGCCACCCTCCTGTCATTTCCTGGTCGTGGGTTTCACAGCTGAGGATGACCCAGGATGCCCTCAGCAGCCATATGTCCTGGAGTGTCTAGTGAATATTAGCTCTAGATCATCTCTTTTCATAGGACTGAGGTATGGGGTAGGAGTCTCTGAGGAACAGCTTGCCTGCTGACCTCTAGCTGAGAGGTTATATCTTTTATATCCTCTTAATATATCGTTTAGCTAAAAATCTAGCTGCTTTAGACATTAAGATTTTCTTCCCCAACCCCAATTTCCATTTCTTGCAGACAAGTTGGTGGTCAGTGAATGAATTGTTGGTTTTGACTTGAAAAGACTGGCATCCTGTTCTGGATTTTCTCATACTTGTGTGGGGCTGGGGACAGTGAGAAAAACTATCCCCAAGGACAAAGTAAACCCTCCCAGCCAGGTGGTACAAGACCCTGCAAAGTAGTTTGTGCTTCAGACACACAGTGGGGTGCAGGACTGGTTCTGTGACTCCTGGGATGGTGGTCTTTTAATTATAAATCCTATGAGATTGGATTTGGCAACTCCAGGAAGTGTTCACGTATGATTGTTTAGTAAAGAAATTGTTGCGCCTGGGGCGGTGGCTCACGCCTGTAATCCTAGCACTCTGGGAAGCCGAGGTGGGCGGATTCCTGGGGTCAGGAGTTCAAAACCAGCCTAGACAAGAGCAAGACCGTCTCTACTATAAATAGAAAGAAATTAATTGGCCAACTAATATATATATAGAAAAAATTAGCTGGGCATGGTGGCGCATGCCTGTAGTCCTAGCTACTCAGGAGGCTGAGGCAGGAGGATCGCTTGAGCCAGAAGTTTGAGGTTGCTGTGAGCTAGGCTGACGCCAGGGCACTCACTCTAGCCCCAGCAACAAAGCGAGATCTGTCTCAAAAAAAACAAACAAAAAAAAACGCTTACCCTGAAAGTTAAGTATGTGCATATTTTGCTGATAAGTCAGAAGACATAGTTGTTTTCATTAAACTAATAATATTTAAATAGTCATAGTGACCAAAATATTTACTCAAGACACATAAACCGGCCGGGCGCGGTGGCTCACGCCTGTAATCCTAGCTCTCTGGGAGGCCGAGGCGGGCGGATTGCTCAAGGTCAGGAGTTCAAAACCAGCCTGAGCAAGAGCAAGACCCCGTCTCTACTATAAATAGAAATAAATTAATTGGCCAACTGATATGTATATAAAAAATTAGCCGGGCATGGTGGCGCATGCCTGTAGTCCCAGCTACTCGGGAGGCTGAGGCAGAAGGATCGCTCGAGCCCAGGAGTGTGAGGTTGCTGTGAGCTAGGCTGACGCCACGGCACTCACTCTAGCCTGGACAACAAAGCGAGACTCTGTCTCAAAAAAAAAAAAAAAAAGAAAGACACATAAACCTGAAAAATATTTAGGCTTAGTTGTTTAATTCATGAGCATTCATTTACCTTTAAGTGTATTTGGTACCATGTAGGCAGTATAAAAACACATATATGAATGTATACATTTATGTAGACAGAATATATAACTTAACATATGTACACATGCATGCATCTAAAAGCCAAAGAAAATGAGGTAGTAATTGTAGAGGAGAGTAGAACTTTATCTCAGAGAGGAACCTGTCCACCCCTCAAGTCTTAGGGTTCCATGAGGGAAAAGCAGTGTGTTGCCTAAAAAGGTGGAATCTGTGGTGCCTTTTGACTTCACTTGTGAGATTGTTGGAAATTCAGGCTTCACCCCAGATCTCCTGAGTCAAAATCTGCATTTGAACAAGGTCTCCAGTTCCCTGCTGTACACATTGAAGTTTGAGAAGTGCCTTTTAACTCAGCATGAGTTTCTATCTGGATTATGTATACAACTAATCCTGTGTGATGAAAATGTCACACTGAAAAATGTAAATGTTTGTTAGTGCTTTGAATTTTACAACTGTATCATCAAGAAAACTATATTATCTGTGACTGGTTTTGTGTATCTTATGTCTTCTTCTTTGCTCAGAGTTAGAGAACACGTTAGACAATATTAGTGTGTCCTTTCAAACAATAGCAGTCACTCATATGAGTGAGAACCAGTACTCTCCCTCTCTCACTTCACCCGGATTCACACTGAGAACTCTTCCCATGGCCATGTTATAAATAAATGTTTTTCTTTTAGGGACTGTTGACATTCAAGGATGTGACCATAGATTTTTCCAGAGAAGAGTGGGCATGCCTGGACCCTGCCCAGAAGAATTTGTATAGGGATGTGATGTTAGAGAACTACAGAAACCTGTTTTCCCTGGGTGAGGATACATTCAAGCACAATCTGTTCCACATGGAGGATTTCATATTGTTCCCTTATAGAATTATTTCTGGGAGTTCCTCCTGGATATGAAAGACTTTCATATGCTTGTTTCTGAGGAAAACTTGGGAATTTGTTAGTGTAGAAAAAAACTCTTCAGGATGTTTTATGTTGACATTAGTCTTAACCTTTCTAGAGCTGATCTGTATCTTTCGCTCTAGATTAGTGGTAATTTTGAAATTCAGTGGCATAAAATATTGTCATCCACACCATAACATCCCATTTTCACCATCAACTTTTAATTCACTAGTAAGGGGATAATGGATCTGAGGAGACTCAAATTTTAAAACCTTCCTAAATATTATCAAGATTCTATTATAAAATGATACTTTTTGGTTAGTTTGCTAAAATCTTCCATAACATATTCTTTTCTCTACTGAGCATAGTACTAGGTTGGTAATTGGAGAATACCAGCAAGAGTGATATAAGTTTTTTCTAATAAAACAGGTCTTGTTGTCTCTAAGCCAGACCTGATCCTCTGTCTGGAGCAAAGGAAAGAACCCTGGAGTGTGAAGAGACATGAGACAGTAGAAGAACACGAAGGTAAGTTGAAGTGAGCGAAGGAGATGACACAGGTGTTAGGTCCAAAGGTCAAAGAGGAAGCCAGACCTTAAAATATGTTGGGAAACTCTTCTCCAATGCAAAGGGTTTCTGAGCAGCCTATGTTTCTTTGTCTTGTTCTCACATTGGGTATCCGTGTTCCTTGTTCTTAAATTATCTAAGGACTTGAGTTTCCCTTCAGTGATCTCCCTTTGAGGTTACAGTGAAAACCCAAGTCTTGTTCATGGCTAATAGGGACTGCAGGATCTGACTGCTCTTCCACTGCTACTCAGGACATGGGAATATCTATGTATGTTTTGAGAAACTCTATGTTAAACCAGGATTTAGCTTCCCTTTTTGTGTCATATCTGAAATGTGTTAATGTAGTGGTGATATTGGTATTTGGTTTAGAGATTTGAGAACATAACAAGGAGAGGTTGTATGTATTCTGCTTTATGGTTTCCTATCCTGTGGAAGTATTACATGTGATTCTGCAGAAATTCATTCTGAGTAACATTATCAAACACTAAGTATCTTCCTAAATATAATAAAATGTAATGTTATTTTACTTCTAAATACTGTTTGTAGTGTGAACTGTGATTAATAATTTAAACTATGTAAGCCCAAATTTCTCAACTTTAATAGAGTTTATGGTGCTCTGCACATTTCTTAGCATAGTGTCATTGGGAAGGGTAGAGCATTGTCTAGTATGTGTCAAACTCCCATTTGCTACTTTCTTTTTTAATAAGTATCATTTTCTGATTTTTCTCTTGTTTAGTAGGAAGCTTACTAGGACTGTGCCATTCATATTAATATATGTGGATACATGTATGCACATACATAAATATGTGTGTATGTGTGTGTGACATGGACTTTTTCAGAAATAAAAGTATGACTAATTATTGTATACAATGTAATGACTTGATATGTATGCATTGTGAAATGATCAAATTAATCACATTAGCATATCTAACACTTCAGGTTTTTGTTTTGGTTATTTTTTTTATTGCAATAACAGTTAAGATTCTCAGCAGATTTTAAAATAAAAACCATTATTATCAGCTACAGTCAGAATGCTATACATTAGATCCACAAAACTCATTTACCTTATAACTGAAAGTTTGTATGCTTTGAGCAACATCTCCATTTTTGCCCACCTCAGGCCCTGGTAACCACCTCTGTATTTTCTGCTTCTGTGAGTACAACCCTTTAGGTTCCCCATGTGAGGGGAGGTCATGCAATATTTGTCTTTCTTATTTGTCTTTCTGGCTTATTTCAGTTAGCAGAATGTCTCTCAGGTGCATCTGTGTTGTTGAACTGGCTGAAAAATGTTTTTATGACCAAATGATCTATTGTGTGTATGCATATATATATGTGTGTGTGTATACCCTATTTTCTTTATTCATTCAGCAATCCAAAACATTTAGGTTGTTTCCACGTCTTTGCAATTGTGAATAATGCTGCAGTGAACATGGGAGTGCAGATATTAATATTCATTTGAGACACTGATTTTACTTCCTTTGATTATACACACAGAAGTGGGCTTGCTGAATTGTGTGGTAGCCCTGTTGCCTCTGTATTTTTTAAAGAACCTCTATACTTGTTTTGATAATGAATCTACCAAATTACAACTCATTAGTAGTGTACAGGATTTCCCTTTCTTCACATCCTTGTCAAAACTTGTCTTTTTTTGATATTAGCCATCCTAACAGGTATGAACTAATAGTGCATCATAATTTTGATTTGCAATTCCCTGATTATTGGTGATGTTGAGCACTTTTTCACATACCTGTTGGCCATTTGTGTGTTTTTATTTGGAAAATATCTTTTCAGTCTTATGCTTAGTTTTCAGTGATTTGTTACTATTATTATTACTGCTTTTGCCTTTGATTTGTATAAGTTTCTAATATAATTTGGATATTAACCTCTTATAAGCTATATGGTTTGCAAATGTTCTATCCCGATGCTTAAGTTTTCTTGTTTGCTGTGTAGAAGCATTTTAGTTTCATGCAGTCCAACTGATTTATATTTGCTTTTTTTTTTCATACTTTCAGTGTCATATCCAAAAAAATCCATTACCAACATCAGTATCAAGACAGTTTTTCATATTTTTTCCTTTCATATTTTTAAGAATTCATGTCTTGCACAAGTCTTTATTTTGAGTTAATCTTGTGGTATGGTGTATGAAAAGTGGTCCAATTTTATTCTTATGCTTGTGGATATCCAGATTTTCTAGCACCAGACTTGAAGAGACTATATGTTCTGCATTGGGTATTCTTACTGTTCTTGTCAATGTTGGTTCACCTTGTAGGCATGGACTTATTTCTGAGCTCTCTATTTTGTTCCATTGGTTGTTGTGCCATATTTAATATACATAGTATAATTTTTTATTAGTATAGTTTTGAAATGTAGTTTGAAATGAGAAAGTATCATGCCCCTAACTTTCTTCTTCCTCAAGATTACTTTGGTTATTCAGTGTCTATTGTAGTTCCATAAAAATTTTAGAATTTTTTGTTTTTCTGGAAAATTTCCTTAGAATTTTGATAGGGAGTTTATGGAAACTATAGATAACTTTGATTACACTAGTACTTTAACAGTATTCTTTGAATCTATAAACATGGGATATTTTTACACATTTATTTGTGTCTTCTATTTCTCTCATCAGTATCTTATATTTTTCAGTGTAAAGCATTTTCACCTCCTTGGCTAAATTTATTGCTAAAATTGAATATCTTGATGCTTTTATAAAGGTGATTTTTTTCACTTTTTCTTTAGTTGTTAATGTATAGAAGCACTGATATTTGTATGTTAATTTAATATTCTGCCCATTTATTGAATGAATATTTTACTTTAAACAGTTTTATTTTGTAAATTATTTATGGTTTGCTACATACAAGGTTATGATATCTACCAACAGTGACATTTTTATTTCTTTCTATTCTATTTGTACAGATTTTTTTTTTCATTTTCTTGCCTAATAGTTCTGGGTAGGATTTTCAACGCTATGTTAAAATAGAAGCATTGAACATGGGCCTAATAAAACCTTGCTGTGGCCTGTGTTCATCTGAAAGAGTTAGCACTGCTTCCAGTTTTTTTTAAGCCAGTTCCAGCAGGTAAAGGTCTTCCCTTCTTAGGTCCCCGGGCCGATGGGATCTCCTCTGGGTCTGCAGACTAAGGGGTTGCAGCTGGGTCACATTCTGCTGCTGGGCATGCAGAGAGGTGGGCCTTTAGTGTGGACCTGTTACGAGGGGCTTGGGTAGCTGTGAATCCTGTCTTACTCATGAGCCGACTGGATTGCCTTCCGGACAGTGATGTCTAGGGGAGGCACTTGCAGTTGGGTCTGCCTAGGGTGGGCCTGATATCAGGTGTATGGGTGAGTGTGGCTCCCACTTAGGATGTGAGAGGTTTCTCTGAGGTCACTGCCTGGGTCCCTTGGTGGGAATGACAGCCAAGGACTGTGGCTAAGAAGGATGGAACTGAGTCACAGAAGTGCTTCAGAGGCCACAGTGAGTATTAAGTTCTGTAGGACTGTTTTCCACGACCACAAATGGTCATGTCTTCTCAGGTCTCTGGATAGGCAGCACCACTCCACGCCATGACTGGGAGAAGTGGGAGGTGCCTACGTAGTCACTTCATAACTCTCAGTGGCACCAAGTTGAGTGGGCCAGTTCCTGTTCTCTAGCTAAGACCAGGGTTTCCCAAGTTTGCCACACGAATTACAACCTTTCCTTTTAAAATGACCCTCCTTGGTCCAGGGCTTTCTCAGGGTTTTACAGCCTTCTCTCTGGATCCTGAAGCTCTCATAAAAGCACTTTTTAGATGTGGTCTCACTGTATCACCCAGGCTCATCTCCAGTTGCTGGGCTGAAGTGATCTTCTCACCTCAGCTTCTGAGTAGCTGAGATCACAGGTGTGAGCCACTGTGCTGGGCTGTCATAAAGGCAGTTTTTTCATAGGTGGCTCGTGAAGTGTTTGTTGCTATAGGGGGAGATAAACAAGCAGAGGGCTTTTCTTCTACCATCTTGCTGATTTCACACTGTATGTTTTCACTTGCTATTTTGTTCTATGTTACATTTTTTATAATTTTAGATTGAAAAATTCAGAGCAATATCCTAGAATTTCACATTATGGAAGAGGTAAATTAGATAATTCGTAGGCATCCATATTTACTTGAAAATTTGAGTTTACTGCAGGCAAAAAGGAATCATTATAATTGACATCTATGGCCATCCCACCTTGTAAGCACCTAATCTTGTCTGATCTCGGAAGCTAAGCTGGGTTGGGCCTGGTTGGTACTTGGATGGGAGAATTTTCATCCACTTTTTTCTGCCTACATCTAAATTATAATTTTCCTCACATGTTTATTTTACATAGCAGTGACTCTCATCATATTTTACAAACTTTATGTTTTACTTTATTTTCAAATATAAGCTTCTCTTTGCTGCCAAAGACTGAATTACAGCATTTTCAGTTTTTTTAAGAATAGCGTCAATATAGCAACAACATAATAAAAATTATCTTTAATGTTTTTAAATGCTGATTAAAATTTTCTGATTAGATCCTTTTATTAATGACTGTAACACATTTTCTGTGAAATTTTATTACCATATGTAGCATACCAGTGATTCAAAAATGCCTGCACAAAATGCAGTCACACTTGAACATTGTAGTTATCTGGAAAAAAATCACTTTTACTGGTAAAGCAATGTTTCACACAGAATTTTATGTCTCAGCATTTCTTTTGTTCTTCTTTTGCAGTCCATATCACTGTGTTTGTTTTTTAGACCTTGGGTTTTTTGTGTGTTTCCTTTCACTGTTGTATTAAAATTTCGGATGAAATTGCAACACTTTTAAGTCCATGTTAGGTTAAATAAAATACGAATGCGCCATGTGTATCAGAAACGACACGTGTGTGTTTGTCCCCGTAAACTACCCCGGGTGTCTCCAGCTGCGCGCTCCTTTCCCGGCCGGTTTCGGGTCCCCGTGCTGTGGGCGCGGTCACGACAGTCTGGGTGAGCGCCGAGGTCGGTCCGCGGGAGAGGGTCGCGGAGCAGCGAGGGGCCCCGCGCCGTCGCGGGGCTAGGGAGCGGGTGCGGAGCCTGAGCGGCCGGGCGGGAGAGCAGGGGGGGGGGGAAGAGGAGCGGGCGGGACGGGGCTGCGGGGACGGGGCTGCGCCGCCCGTTTGCCGCGGTCGGTGGGTGCTTCGCGTTGGCGACCGGCTACAAAGTGAGACTCTGTCTCAAAAAAAAAAAATTCTTGATCATTAACTATGCCCTCCACTTTGTTATTGATATCACTAATCATATATTTTTACATTCTATACCCATGAACAGAGGTTTAGTGGTATATTATGTTTTTGTCTTCAAGTTTTAAACTATGACTAAAAGTATTTTTTCTACTGTCATTATAATACTACACAATTTTACTTAAGTGTACTTATGTGATTTTCCAAAGAGAGTTATTTGTTTTTCTATGCATTTGTGTTGTTTTCTATTTTCAGTGCAAAGAGCTTTCTTTGGCATGTTTTTGTGGGGCAGGTCTAGTGGTGATAAAGTTTTCCAGATTCTAATTATCTTTTTATGTCTATATTTTTGTTTTTTTAAATGGGCAGTTTGCTGGATATAGTGTTTCTGCTTTGAAGTGTTTTTTTGTTTTTATTTTTGTTTTTTCAGAAAGAGTCTCGCTTTGTTGCCCAGGTCAGAGTGAGTGCCGTGGCATCAGCCTAGCTTACAACAACCTCAAACTCCTGGGCTCAAGTGATCCTACTGCCTCAGCCTCCCGAGTAGCTGGGACTAAAGGCATGTGTCACCATGCCTGGCTAATTTTTTCTATAAAATTAGTTGGCCAATTAATTTCTTTCTGTATATAGTAGAGACGAGATCTCACTCTTGCTCAGGATGGTTTTGAACACCTGACCTAGAACAATCCGCCTGCTTCGGCCTCCCAGAGTGCTAGAATTACAGGCGTGAGCCACAGTGCACAGCCTGTTTGAAGTTTGTATTCTATTAGCAACTGACAAATCATTTTTGTCCTGCAGCTTTTAAGATTTTCTCTTTGTGTGAAACTTTCAGAACTTTGCTTATAACCTGCCTTGTTATGGGTGCATTGCTGTTTCTGCTAGCTTAAGTATGTTGAGTTTCTTGAATTTTTTATGTCTTTATTCCTACAAAGATTTCTCCATCAAATCTTTTATTAGCGTTTGCTTCAGCTAGACAATTTAATTTGCTTCTCTTTATGAGATTTTATTCTTTGATATTCTAATTTTCCTGATTTCATTTATTAGTATGGTTCCCATGTCACTCATTAAGCATCATTTACATGGGTTTATTTTATTTTATTTTATGTTTCTTTAATATTAGAGAAAGGGTCTTGGTCAGCCATCCTTGGTTGAGTGCCGGGGCATCATCATACCTCACTTGTAACCTCAAATTCCTGGGGTTAAGCAATTCTCCTGACTCAGCCTTTCCAGTAGCTGGGACTAGCAGTGTGCACAAACATGCCAGGTAATTTTTTTATGCTTAGTAGAGACAGGGTCTCACTCTTGTGCAGGCCAATCTCTAACTTCCAACCTGAGGTGATCTTCCCACCTTGGCCTCCCAGAGTGCTAGGATTCGAGGTGTCAACTGCTTGACTCTGCTGGTATGTTTATTTTTATTTTATTCTGGTTAATGTATACATTTCCATTCCTTTGTGGTTTATTTCTGATTCTTTTGTTTCTTTGACTGGGCTATGTTATCTTGATATTTTGTTTGTGTTGTGATCTCTGGTTGAGATTTGACAATCAACAAAAAGCCACCTTTCATAAACTTTATCAAGTAGCTTTTTCTTGGGAAACTGAAGAGAATTGACTGTACTAGAGATAGAAGAAGCCTCAAATCTGTTCTCAACAGTTTCTTCTGTGGAATTTTGTGTTTATTTTCCAGTTGAAGTAGTTTTCCCACATTTCTTTGGAAGAGCCTGTCATTTGCTACACCTGTTCCCTGTATGTGGTATTGAAGTTCCTATGCTGCTGTAACAATCTTTTTACCTTTGGTTTCAGAATACCCATTCTGTCCTTCAATTGATAGCACCATTTTTTGAAGCACTGTGTGTTACGGTAGATGGAAAACAGTCTTTGTATGGCCGCCAAAAGCCAGAAGGATAGTCAAGGCTGTCACTATTTTTTTTCTCTTTTGAGAGAAAAACTGGGGTTTGAGAATTTACTTTTTTTTTTTTTTTTTTTTGAGACAGATTCTCGCTTTGTTGCCCAGGCTAGAGTGAGTGCCGTGCCGTCAGCCTAGCTCACAGCAACCTCAAACTCCTGGGCTCGAGTGATCCTTCTGCCTCAGCCTCCCGGGTAGCTGGGACTACAGGCATGCGCCACCATGCCCGGCTAATTTTTTATATATATATCAGTTAGCCAATTAATTTCTTTCTATTTATAGTAGAGACGGGGTCTCGCTCTTGCTCAGGCTGGTTTTGAACTCCTGACCTTGAGCAATCCGCCCGCCTCGGCCTCCCAAGAGCTAGGATTACAGGCGTGAGCCACAGCGCCCGGCCGAGAATTTACTTTTATATGCACCATGCTGTATTAAGGAGGAAAGGTCATGATGATGAAATACAACTTTTCTGTCTCTTCTATGTGAGTCATGGCATTGTGCTCACCTGGTGTGCTGGAAACTCTCACCTGGCAATTAGAATTTCCATCAAGGCAATTTGTTCAGCAAAAGTTTTTTATAGTTATTTTTCTAAAAGAGATTTAGGACCTGTATATTGTGTTATGTCATCTTGCTAATGTGTTATGTATAATTTTACATGTTGAATTTGCAATGTATATTATTCTGATTAAGTATAAAAAGACATAAGTGGAATAATTGTTATTTTTCAAACCTTTTATAGGTAAAGAATGTGGGGACTACTTTAACCAATGCCCATGTATTATTGAACATAAGAACATTCATGATGGACAGAAACCTTCAAAATGGAAACAGTGTGATAAAGTAGTTAAATGTTGTTCAAGCCTTGCTAATTATAACACAGTTCATACTGGAGAGGAACCCACCCAATGTGAAAAATTTGGCCAATCTTTTAACTGGCAATCATCCTTGACTAAACGTAGGAAAATTCAAACAGGTGGAAAACCCTACCAATGTGAAGAATGTGGCAAAGCCTTTCATTGGTTCTCACAACTTATTATGCATGTGAGAATTCATACTGGAGAGAAACCCTACAAATGTGATGAATGTGGCAAAGCATTTCGTTTGCGTTCATACCTTACTTCACACAAGAGAATTCATACTGCAGAGAAACCCTACAAATGTGATGTATGTGACAGATCCTTTGCAAGGATCTCATACCTCTACACACATAAAAGAATTCATACTGGAGAGAAACCCTACAAATGTGAAGAATGTGGCGAAGCCTTTAAACAGCTTTCACGGTTTTCTGAACATAAAATAATTCATACTGAGGAGAAACCCTACAAATGTGAAGAATGTGACAGAGCGTTTAAATATCAGTCACGCTTTTATGAACATAAAAGAATTCATTCTGGACAGAAAACCTACAAATGTGAACAGTGTCATAGGGTCTTTAAACAGTACTCATATCTTAGTCAACATAAAAGAATTCATACTTTAGAGAACCCCTACAAATGTGAACAATGTGACAGAGCCTTTATATGGTCCTCATACCTCTCTAGACATAAAAGAAGTCATACTGGAGAGAAACCCTACAAATGTGACGAATGTGGCAAAACCTTTAACTGGTTCTCACAACTTACGATGCATAAGAGAATTCATAGTGGAGAGAACCCCTACAAATGTGAAGAATGTGGCAGAGCCTTTAAACAGTTTTCAAATCTTCATGTACATAAAAGAATTCATACTGGAGAGAAACCCTACAAATGTGATATATGTGGCAAAGCCTTTACTCGGTTTTCACGTGTTAGTATGCATAAGAGAATTCATACTGGAGAGAAACCCTATAAATGTGAAAAATGCGATAGAACCTTTACACAGTACTCCAACCTTTCTATACATAAAATAATTCATACTGGAGAAAAACCCTATAAATGTCAAGAATGTGACAGATCCTTTAGATGGCAATCATACCTCTCTAAACATAAAAGAATTCATATTGGAGAAAAGCCCTAGAAATGTGAACAATTTCGCAAAGCCTTTAAACAGTTTGCACATCTTTATGTGCATAAAAGAATTCCTACTGGAGAGAAACCATACAAATGTGAAGAATGTGACAAAGCCTTTAATTGACACTCATACATTTCTGCACATAAAAATTCATACACAAGTAACCTTACAAATGTTAGAATGCAGAAAAATTTTTAAATATTGCTCAAGGTTTTCCATTCATAAGATCATTCATACAGGAGAGAAACCCTGGAAGTATAAAGAAGGTGGGAAAGCCTTTACCTGATGCTGTTACTTCACTATACATGAGCACAATCTTAGAAATATAAACCAAGTGGGAGATCTTTTAATAACTTTAACTGGTTGTTTATATCTCAATAGCAGACAGTCATGGTGGGTAACAGTGATAGAAATGTACCACTGTCAAAATATCTTTCAGAAAGTAAAAGTCTGCATAAAATAGTACAGTTTTAACGTATTATGTAATACATACTTTTATCAAATATCTTATTGTGTATAGGATAATTTACATTAGAACCAAACTTTCCGGCATTTGCTCAAAGTTTATTTAAAGTCAGTGTATCTGGAGTGGAGAGAAACTCTACAAATGTCATAAATGCAGAAAAACATTTCTTCAAAAAACAGACCTTGGAAAACACCAGAGTTTATACTAAAAGATATTTTCCAGATGGTACAATGTGAAAAAATATTTAATCAAAAATCACGTCTAGATAAAAATTAGAGGTTATCTGGTAGAAAGAATTAAGGCCCCAATACTCAGAAATTACTCAAAAGGACAATGTTGTTTATAGAGAATAATCCAAAGTTAAAGTAGATAGAAGGTTTATGTGTATATATGTTTAAAAGGAGGAGATTGATTAATGGTGGGTTACAATTACATAAAAAATATTGATGCAAATTACTTAGAATTAATTGATACCTTCATTAGAGTTTTATAAAAATGTCAAGTTTTGCTCCATCAAAACTGAAAATTTCTTTTTATATTATGTGGGAATCATGAATATACTCTTCTGAGGAATATTAAGGACACAGAAATGTAACATGTCGAGAGTCTAACTGTAAAATTAATCCGTGTGATTAACTTGTGAGAGCATTGTAAGTGATTCAGAGATAGGTGTGTAGATTAATATTCTTATGCATTATAATTAGAAACCTCTTTTGAATTTTAGAAGTAAATAGTTTTACCAGTTCCGTTAAGGTAATTTAGGTAGTAAAATATTGTATGTGCAATGCTTTTTAAAACAGTATTGTCAACTTAATTTCTTTAAATAGAACAATATTGTGTTTAATTTGTAAAGACTGTTGTGCAAAAATGAAGTATAGTGATGACACCAACGTAAACCTATCCACCCTTATTCAAGATTGTAGGTACCAGATGGTACTAATTTATTATTGGGGAACATAGCAGAGTAACATCTCCAGTGTCTTTTATTCCAGTAGGCCTTAGAGTACAAATAATATTAAGGATATTATTTCTATAGGTTATGTTTTTATTGTTTATGTAACTAAAGGTTCATTATAATGGCTATAATGAAGGTTTATGAGAGTACTATCAAGATGCACATGTTTCTCAGTCCTGAATGACTATTTGCAAAATTTAATCCTACGCTTTTCTTTTGAACATGTGGCCACTGTGGTCTCCAAAACGGACACATACTTTTATTTTTCATTTACATGGAATGAAATACAGAATTGTCTCATGATAAAGAAAACTTAAGTTGTAAGAGTATTATAGAAAAAGGTTTTTTTGTGTGTGCATATCTTGTTTTGAGAAAAAAATATTTTGGAATCATACAGATAGTTTCGAAAGTCTTCATAATTTATTAGCAAAGTAGAAACCTCAAAGAGTCTGTATGTATATATTCTGTTTTACAGTAAATTCATTTCTCTAAAGTTTTTTGGCTCCTGTTTGAAAATGTCACTATGAATATTGTTTGACTTTAATTGTCTCTTACTCATGGTACACCTAATACATGACTTTTTTCTACAGTTAATGAAGTGCTTTTATTTGGACTTGTCTGAGATTATAATAATTATTTTTATTAAATTGAATGTACTGACAATATAAGTAGAAGATATAAGTACTTCCACAATGAGTATATTAAGTTGAATTTGCACATTTTTTCTTCTAAATTGGAGAATCCTATTTGAGCTAATTTTTTTTCAGTTATTGTTTTACTTTTTATAATTGGCATGACTATGCTGATTGACACTTATTGGGGAAATTTTTTCAGGTAGAACAGGGGCGGCTTGATGACTCACGGTTTGGTTTATTTTGGCATTTTTGTTAAGTGTGCGAACATAAGATAGTACTAGGTGTTTCATAGATGCTGCATGTTTATCAGTAAGTATTCCTGTTTGTGGCTCTATGTAAGAGAGAAAATGGCCGCACATAGCAATGACACTGATTCTTCATACAGAAAGAGGACTCCTCTTCCTGGTCCACACATGTATCTCAGCGCTTCTCTTTTCTGTGTTACTGCTAACAGCTTTCTCACTGTTGTCTCCACCCCACGTGATTTCCCAAAGTACATTTTAGGTTTTGATGGGAAGTTTGGAATTTTTTCAATATGGTAAAAATTTGTTTTTATCTGGAGAGTTTCAGAGCATTTGTAGGTATAAATAAAAATTTCTAATCTTTTAATTGTGAGAAGAAAGATGCAGTATCCATGGACCAGAGGGTTCAATTAGGCAGTTAGCTTTGTTTGTAGAAGAAAAATGTTACTAGCTCCTAACAAAAATTGTGGTAGATATTAGACTAGGTGGAGCATTAATAACAGTGGGGCTTAACATAAATTGTTTGTAAAGAAGCATCATAAATTGGATATTTCTTAAGTTTAAACCTATTTTAGGAATAAAATCTTCAGAGCGTTTTATAATGGTAAGTGCATCCTTTAACAGCTTATACGATGGAGATAAATAGGTAGGCATATGTTTCATACAGTGAGGAAACAAATATAAAATGATCCTATCTGAATGGCTTCCACAAAACCGTAATGAAAGTGGAGGTAGTAGTATGTCATAAAGTTTAGTTTTTGGTATATACTACAGCTGTACTATGTTACAGTGCACAATTCATAATTGCAAAGATGTGGAAACAGCCCAAATGGCAATCAAAATACTAGTGGATTAATAAGATGTGTTACATATATACCATGGAGTACTATTCAGCTGTAGGAAACAATGGTGATATAGAACCTCTTGTATTTTCCTGGATGGAGCTGTAACTAGGTGTCCTCAAACTTTTTAAATGGGACAGGTTCACTGTCCCTCAGACCGTTTGAGGGCCGTTGGAGAGTGCAGTGCACATTCCACACATGCGCACTGTGGGCCGGGGATTAGTCTGATGCTAAGCTGGACAGGCAGCATCGGCAAAAACACCCGACAGGCCAGGTAAACGTCCTTGGCGGGCCACATGTGGCTCATGGGCTGTAGTTTGTAGAACCCTGCATAACCCATTTTGGTAATTGATAAATCCTAAGAATGGAAAAATAAGCACGACATGTACTCACAAGAAAATTGGTTTCACTGATCAACATCTAAGTAGACATAAAGGAATAACATTTATTGGGTGTCAGGCAGGTGGGACGGGGAGGATGGGATGCACATATACATATATGATGAGTGTGATATGCACCGTCTCAGGGATGGACAGGCTTGAAGCTCTGACTCCAGGGGGTGTGGGGGGTGGGGGAAGAGGAGGAAGGCAACTCACATGTCATAAACATTTATATCCCCATAATATGCTGGGAAAAAAGATAAAATTTAAAAATATATATGCAGATCTGTATGTGCTAAAAATAAAGAATACCTGAAATATATCAATAAAGCCTTAAATAAGACTGGGCGTGGTGGCTCATGCCTTATAATCCTAGCACTCTGGGAAGCTGAGGTAGGCGGATCGCTAAAGGTCAGGAGTTGGAAATCAGGCTGAGCAAGAGTCAGACCCCATTTCTACTAAAAATAGATAGAAATTAATTGGACAACTAAAAATATATAGAAACAATTATCCTGGCATGATGGCACATGCCTGTAGTCCCAGCTTCTTGAGAGGCTGAGGCAGAAGGATTGCTTGAGAACAGGAGTTTGAGGTTGCTGTGAGCTATGCTGACTCCACAGCACTGTAACCTGGCCAACCAACAGAGTGAGACTCTGTTTCAAAAAAAAAAAGACTTAAACAGATAGTGCATATTAATCTTGAATAGAAAAAGTCAATAATATAAACAAGTCATTTATCCATAAGCTAACATCAACGTTGTATTTCATCTCATATCAGATTCTATCATGTTTTTTTAAAATACATTTATTAATCAATATTAGCACATTAAATGAATCTATATATTGCTACTCAGAGCAATTTACAAAATTCCAGAATGCATCATAGAACTGAACAGCAACAATGAGTATAACAATGTGCATAGTGGTGAAGCTTAACACCTTGATACAGTTTTATGATCTGCAGGAAATTTTGAATAATGATTCCTGAAACAATCAATTGTAATTTTACCTGAAACTTTTACAAAACAAGGCCAAAGTCTCTTTTTTAAATTTTGGTTTTTTTTTTTTTAAAAAACACACAGTTTTCTCACTGTAGTAACTTGGACATGTGCAACTGTCAGCAGAGATAAAAACACAAAAGTATGAGGAATCTCACCTTCATGCAGCTATCAGTTAAAGATTACATATTCTGGAATGATTTTACACCAAAAATATGTCCATAATAACTTGCTCTCATAGGGATGCGTCGAAAATTTAAAAGTTGAAAATGAGTGAAAGAAGATTAAGTGTGTGGTTCTGACACCCCCCTCCACGCTGAGCACCGTGGCAACACTGACTCATCACACAGCAACGGAGGGAGCCATGATGCCAAGTTACTGCATAATTAGAGACATTGTGTGAAACGGGGCTTCTGGGTATTGTTTACAAAATATTGTGCACCATTTGGCAGTAGTTTGTCAGTTAACTTGTGTCACCGCCATCTGCAACAGCATCTACTGGATGGAGAAGATTTCACAGAAGACTTAGTTACATTTTTATCTTCAGAGTGAATTTCTGTCAGGTTTTTTTTAAAGCTAGCAATGATTTTGCAAAGTGTACGTGGAAGAACAAACGTGAGAATTGCTAAAATCCCTGCAAAATAAACACGATAAGGGATTCGAACACATTAAAATATTCTACAGTTAAAGTAGTGTGGTACTGATATAAAAATAGGCAAGTAGATCACGATAGTAGAAATTTCAGAAATATGTCAAAGTGCATAAGAGAAGAAAAGATATACAATAAAAACTACACAGGGGAAACTTTTATTAATATTTAGTGTTTGATAGCTGCATATGCCTAAAGTGATGAAAATGGATTCATTCTTCACACACTATAGGAAGATAAATGACAAAGGACAAGTCTAAATGGTAGAAAGAAGCATGCACATAGAAGAAAACATTGGTTAATATTTTTATAATGTGTGATAAAAAATCTGGCATATCACTCAAAGAAATGTTAATGAAAGATTGATAAAGTACACAATATAAAACCAGAATATTGTGAAAATTAGGAAGCACCATAAGTAGAAAGGGAAATGCTAAATGGGACCTGTATTTGTAACATATGATACTACTATAACACACAAGGAGAAGCACACATCTGTGTTCATTCAGGAAAATAAGGAAGCTCTCAAAACATGGTTTCCTGGCATAAGGACAAAGGAGGCAATATGAAGGTTCCCTGACTGACCTAAGATGAGACAATTGGAGCTCAAAAACATCTCTATAGTGGTATATGAAATTCCATCAAAAAATGTTGGAAAATGTAATTTATATGTGTTGTTTGTTTGCTGGGGCCACACCGTAGTTATGACAATTGACAAACGTTTCAAGCTTTTATTTTTCCAGTAGGCTGTTTTTTTCTCTCTTTTTGAGACAGTGTGTCCCTGTTTCCAGGCTAGGGTGCAGTGGCAGATCCTACTTCAGCCTCTCATGTAGCATGGTCTGTAGGCACAGACCACCATGCCTGGCTATTTAAAAAAAAATTGTAGAGACAGAATCTTGCTACATTGCTCAGGTTGGTCTTGAACTCCAGGCCTCAAGTGATCCTCCTGCCTCAGCCTGGGGAAGGGTTAGCATGACAGATGCAACTCACTACGCCTATTTTTTAATGTAATGAAGACCTCATGAAAAAATGCAATTTGCAATAGAACTATGAGAACTAATACATGCAGAGGATATAATAGAGTTAGAAAGCTGCTTTTTTGCAACCCTCGTCAAAATAAGTGAAATTAGAAAAATATTAATGCCAAAAAATTACAGGCAGACATTTCTTAGACTCATTGATCAATCTTTTTTTTATTTTTATTTTATTTTATTTTATTTTTTTTGTTCCAGTAATTATTTCTTCGCTACATTGATCAATCTTAACATAAATAAAAGTGGGAAAACCAGACGTGCATCCAAATGTGCTTTCTGAATCCAGATGAGCTGGAAGTCTAAAATACAGAGTAACTTTGAAAGATTGAATACCAAACTAGAAAAAATACTTAGTGATATTATATTTACCACATGTAGAAACATAATTTGTATATATTAGGTTAAATACAATCAATGGCATGGGTTTATTTTTTCTTTTCTGTTGCTACTGCTTTGTTTCCTTGAAAATAAGACCTACCCATAAAATAAGCCCTAGCAGGATTTCTAAGCATTTGTGCAATGTAAACCCTCACCATAAGACCTGGTGATGGGCGTGGCTACATAGCGCATTT